ATCAGTTTTACTAGAATACATTAAATGTGCTAAATGTGATCCTTCTGTGGGAAGCATAGTCAACACTGTCTGCATGCAGCATATATCTTTATATAAAAAAAGATGCAATTTGTCACTTACCGGTTCGTGTCCGTCTGTGTAATCCCTGAGACCTTGTTCCAGCATGTTTTGTTGTCGTGGGTGATGTGGACCAAATGGTGAGTCCCCAACCATACATATAGCCATTTCTGTCTTAAAGCCAGTGCCTTATCATGGTTTCCTCTTGGTTTCCAAATATGATATATCTGTACCTATTCGAACCACAATCTACTTTTTAATTAAGTTTACCTACCTGTATATACAAGTAAGGCTCACAAATGCCAAACTTATTCTTATTTTCTTTTTATTGAGCACATTCTGCTGCTGAACCCATGTGATCAGTGGCGTACACACAACCCATGGGGCCCCGGTGCGAAAACTGATCCGTGCCCCCCCCCCGAACGCTTACTCTGCGCGGGCTGGGGCCACAACACATGGCAGTGGGCACCTGGTCCGCGGTATGTACGCCAGTGCATGCAGATACACATACACTTAAAGGACCACTACAGACACCCAGATCACATCAGCTCAATGAAGTGGTCTGGGTGCCAGGTCCCTCTAGTTTTAACCATGCAGCTGAAAACATAGCAGTTTCAGAGAAACTGCTATGTTTCACTGAGGGTTAATCCAGCCTCTAGTGGCTGTCTCATTGGCAGCCGCTAGAGGAGCTTCCGCGATTCTCACTGTGAAAAACACAGTGAGAAAACTCTGAACGTCCATAGGAAAGCATTGAGTAATGCTTTCCTATGGGCGGTTTGAATGCGCACGCAGCTCTTGCCATGCATGCACATTCGGAGCTGAGAGGCGGAGAGATCCCCAGCGCCAAGGGAGTCCGGCGCTGGAGAAAGGTAAGTGCTTAAGACACACACACTCTCACGAATAGACGCATACACACTAGCTAACAGACACACACTTTTACTGACAGACACACACTCAGTGACAGACATACATACACACACACTCACTGACAGACAGACACACACTCACTCACCTACAAAACACACACTCACTAACAGATGCACACAAACTAACACACTCAGTAACAGACACACACAGTAACACACACACACACTCTAATACACACACACTAACACACACTCTAACATACACACACTCTAACACTAACACACACACACCCTAACACTAACACACACACTCACAAACACACACACACACACACTAAAACACACACTCACACTCTAACCCACACACACACTCTAACACACGCACACACACAAGTTTTGTTTTAATTTAATCCCCCCAGCCTCCCTACCTTTGGGAGAGCTGAGGGGATTCCCTGGGGTCCAGTGGTATCACCGGGCGCGCAGGCAGGCAGGCTGGCGCGCGAGGGAGCACTGTCCCGAGTAATTCCTGTTCAGCTCCCTCGCGCGCCGCGTACCGATGCCGGAGCCGGAAGATGACGTCATCTTCCGGCTCCGGCATCAGTGTGGTACACGAGGGAGCTGAAGAGGGAGCACGCGCCCGCCAGGTGACCCCAGGGCCAGCCTCGGGGGGCCCTGAGGTGGCCAGCTCCTGGGCCCCCCAGGTTAGAGGCTGGCCAAACTGGTATACATACCGGGTTGCAGGGCGGTGGGCCCACTGGTGGGCTGGGCCCGGTCGCAGCCGTGACCCCGGTGTGTACGCCACTGCATGTGATATAGAATATTTTTGAGTCATTGCCGTTTCAGTTTTTCATGTACAGTATCTCACAAAAGTGCGTAGACCCCTCACATTTTTGTATATATTTTATTATATCTTTTCATGTGTACAGCCTGTATAACATTGTAAATTTTCTGTTCCCTCAAAATAACTCAACACACAGCCATTAATGCCTAAACCATTGGTAACAAAAGGTACACACCTAAGTGGAAATGTCCAAATTGGGCCAAAAGTGTCAATATTTTGTGTGGCCACCATTATTTTCCAGCACTGCCTTAACCCTCATGAGCATGGAGTTCAACATAGCTTCACAGGTTGCCACTGGAGTCCTCTTCTACTCCTCCATGACAACATCACGGAGCTGGTGGAGGTTAGAGATCTTGCGCTCCCCCACCTTCTGTTTGAGGATGACCCACAGATGCTCAATAGGGTTTAGGTCTGGAGACATGCTTGGCCAGTCACCTTTACCTTCAGCTTCTTTAACAAGGCAGTGGTAGTTTTGGAGGTGTGTTTGGGGTCATTTTCGTGTTGGAATACTGCCCTGCGGCCCAGTCTCGGAAGGGAGGTTATCATGCTCTGCTTCAGTATGTCACAGAACATGTTGGCATTCCTGGTTCCCTCAATGAACTGTAGCTCCCTAGTGCCGGCAGCACTCATGCAGGCCCCGACCATGACACTCCCACCACGATGCTTGACTGTAGGCTAGAAACACTTATCTTTGTATTCCTCTCCTAGTTGCCGCCACACATGCTTCACACCATCTGAACCAAATAAGTTTATCTTGGTCTTATCGTACCACGGGACATGGTTCCAGTAATACATGTCCTTAATCTGCTTGTCTTCAGCAAACTGTTTGCGGGCTTTCTTGTGCATCAACTTTAGAACCTAAGAAAATAAGAATAAGTTTGGCAACCTGTCCTGTGAAACCGTTGTATGGTCTTGCCCACTGTGCTGCAGCTCAGTTTCAGGGTCTTGGCAATCTTCTTATAGCCTAGGCCATCTTTATGTAGAGCAACAATTCTTTTTTTCAGATCCTCAGAAAGTTCTTTGCCATGAGGTGCCATCTTGAACTTCCAGTGACCAGTATGAGAGCGATAACACCAGATTAAACACACCTGCTCCCCATTCACACCTGAGACCTTGTAACACTAACATGTCACATGACACTGGAGAGGGAAAATGGCTAACTGGGCCCAATTTGGACATTTCCACTTAGGGGTGTACTCACTTTGTTTGCCAACGGTTCAGACATTAATGGCTGTGTGTTGAGTTATTTTGAGGGGACAGCAAATTGACACTGTTATACAGGCTGTACACTTTTCATTGTAGCAGAGTGTCATTTCTTCAGTGTTGTCACATGAAAATATATAATAAAATATTTACAAAAATGTGAGGGTTGTACTCACTTTTGTGAGATACTGTATGCACTTAATACATGCATATTTGTAGATAAATAAATAAAAATATTATATATATGTTTGAATGGCACACTTGAATTTTACTTACTAACTCCAGGAATCTTGATAAAATAGACTGAAATTTGGGAAATGAGTAAAATAGGGAAAGGTTGTATGACATGTCATGATTCCCTTTTATTCCAGAAGTTTGGTCCTTAAGGGGTTAAGGTAATTATTACTAATGATATTCTTGTTTGCAAAAACAGTAAATTGTGATTCCACAAAATGGTAAGCTTACCATTAAGCATCATCACAATCATAATTTTTTATACCTTACCAGTGTAATTTCTGAAATGGATTATTTCTATTTGTACTTTTTTGTGGGAATTGCTACAACAAGAATACCTTTTTAGGTACTTTGACCAAAAAATGGTGGTAGGATAGCAAGAATTTATTGTGATCAATGTTCTGCTGTGTAATACAACTGGATATTTAACTGCCAGGGGCTATATTTAGTAAATATCACTATATATCATAACTTTGGCCATTTATTGGAGAGGACTGAATAACTCCCCACAAAGATACCTTTTCAGGTTCTTTGACCAAACACTTTGTTGCAAGATAAGATAATCATGATTACTCACTAAACTCCAATATTTTTTGTGAATTAAAGGAAGACTCCAAGCCACTGCTGCTCTTAGCTTATTGGTTAATATGGTACAAATGAGCTAAATCCTGCTTCTAACAGCATTAGTAGTTCAGATGAGAAGTGTCAACTGGTGGTCCACAGAGGACTGTTTGACTCCTTACAATGGGTGTGGGGGATCATTTAAATTCATATTAAAAAACTGTGGCAAAACTAATTTTCCACCTAAGCTATAATCACACTTTGGCTGTTTTTGCAATTTGGATTTAATTCACCCCCCAAAAAAATAGAGTTTATTGAATAACCCCGTATAAGAATTATTTGTGATGGATGTTCTGACATGTGCTACAGTGAAAAGCAGACCAACATCAAAAAACTAGTGCTTATTGATACCTGAAATAATAGCAGAGGACAGGAGGGTATTGGGCTGCCTCTGTCTGTCTATCTATCTATCTATCTATCTATCTATCTCAAATTAGGGTATTCAGGGCAATCTTTCCTTACTTAGAAAAATATATGAACAAGGATTCTTTCATAATTGGGGAGGTCCTAATGTGGTGCAATTTCTTCAAAAACAAATTCCACCGCCTAGCAACTTGGTAAATCCTAGATGTTCTTTGTATTACCCATTACTGACAGGGCAGGGGTAAAAGGTTAATAAACAGGGCAGGAACTGTAATATTCCAATACTTTACCCCATTAGGCTTGTTTAGTGAGAAATTTCAGTGACCTCCAAAGACACACCCAGGTTCTGTATATTAGGGGTTGTGGCATTGTCACCTAAACTTATAGAGTCCACAACACCAGCCCCAATATATTATCCCTTCACAGTTAGCAAACGGGTGACAGAAGACACCTCATATTATCTTCCCTTGCTACATGTGTGCCCCACTCTTCAGATCTCAGATGTTCATTTAGCGAATACCAAAACTATGTGTGCTGCTATCTGTTTGTGCTTGTGATAGTTCTGTAGTAGACACATGTAATGCTCTTTGCAGTAGTGCTGAGAGGGATAAGTCCGTATTAGCCAGGTTGTGATTGTTCAGTTTAGGTGTTTTGAAAATTGTTGTTTTCTGTGCAAATTGGCTTGGACCTTGGTCAGGCAAGAATGCTGTATCTTTTCATCTCAGTCTGGGCTTCACAAAGCACACTGAATGTGTTTTGTTCCATTCCCATAGTTTTCTTTCTGTGGAAAGATGTTCTAACAGACTGACAACTCCTGGTGGTTTTATTAATTGTTTATTTATTTGTTTCACAAGTGACAACATTAATTTTGTCCCCATAATGGAATGGCAATCTTCAGTTCTTTAAGGGTTAATCCTAGGTGATATTAGAATTGACATAAAGCAGTTCCAAACTAGCTAGGTGATCCATATATTTTAAACTTACCTGCCATGGGTCAGTCCATTGTTAAATTATAATTTAATAAATTATGCAAGTGAAGGTGGACCCTCTGGTGTCTTCAACTATATCTTGAGCACTTTATGTTTAATAAATGGCCTTATTTACATATCTACTATTCTTAAAAAAACAAAACAACAAAAACAATGCATAGATTTTACCCCTTTATTACCCCAGGTGTACATTCACAATGGCAAGAATTTCAAAGATGATCGCCGGAAGACATTCATATATACATAGCTATTCACCTTATGGCATACTTCCTTTGATCAATCCCCTCCAAAACAGAACCCTAACATCCTATCCCATGCAGTGCGAAACTCTGTTATCATCTCACCTACACAGCATCACTTTGTCAACCCCCTTCACAGTTTTTTTTATCCCCTCCCTGAATTATAAGCGGGCATAAACATATTGCCCTCTGTGGAAAATTATTTGTTCCCATCAGTCCTTGAATACTGTTTTAAAAACACTTAATTCTACATTTACCGTTAAGATCCTTTGCTCTTCAGTCGTTCACTCCAATGCAAGAGCATTCTGTCGTTTTAAATGGACCTATTTACATTTTGCCTCTTTTCACTACATCATCGTTCCCTGAAATATTTATGGCTCCTAAACACAAACTTTTTTTTTCGACACACTGGTTTAACTTTCATAATCTAGTACTCCACAGACTTTCTTAATTTTCCTTCCTATTTTTGCAGGCCTGACCACATATTATCTGACCAAACGTTCATATTGCCACATAAAACTCAGTCTTTTCCTCTTATTAAAGTATCTTTTCAAAATAATTACTTTTCTGGTGCTTTAATGATCGGTTCCCTCCCTTATCCCTCGACCCATTCAGTCTTTGTCTTCTGTGCAGTCATTGGCAGATCCTTCACAGTTGTTGGCTCCACCTTTAAGCATTTTGGCCCCACCCCCACGGGGCATTGTTCCAGTGAATGCCTCTTCTTGTGTCCTCTTCAGACTCAGCACCTCCGCTTGCAGCTGAGCCCTACCTTCCTGTTCCTAAACAAAAAGGATTTAACTGTACATTATATTAACATGAGACTGTTTTATTCTGTTTATTATTTGTTTACTATTTTTTTTTTACCTACGTATGTCCTCACTCTCTATCCATTTTTTCGATTTCTTTAAATTTATAAACTTTTTCCTCTATCTTTGGCTATTTTGTTACATTTGTTTTATTACCATATTTGTATGTATCTCCTCCTAAGCATTTCTTTATCTAACGTATTGTCATTTTTCTCACCTTTTTTAAATCCTCCTGCAGTCTCTTCAGCTTTAGCTCCAGCTCTGTGACTTTATCAGTAAGATTTCTATACAGAGAAAGTAAAACCCATTTTATTACATTGATAGACAACATTTACTTGGATTTACACAATAAGGTGCCGCAACTGTTTATCTTACCCTGGTTGTGCTGGGAGAGAATTGTGAGCTCCTAAATCAGTTGCGTCCTCTGAACCTTGACCTTTTGGAGCACAAAACAGAAATTATGTTAAACAATATCTAGAATATATACACATCCTAACAGCTAAATTATATTTTACTGTACTTGCAATACTTGGTAGTTTATTAAGTATGTTTACAGAGGTCTAAGATTCTAGCGCAATCATGGCTAACATGATCTACATGCTGGCTGAGCATAATCAGAAATACAACTCACAAACAACTGGGTTCTAGAGCTAGCCATTACTGGTGTAGTATCTTATGTATCGTAGAACTGAGATTCTGTCTTTTTTCACTCTCTTTCCAGTCTCTTTCCTCTCCTTCTCCCTTTCCCTATTCATTTTATATATGCTTAAATGAAGCTTCTTTTTCTCGGCATGCATGTTATACCTTCTTGACAGTGATGTACAAAAATAAAAAGCCACTTTTAACAAGTATTTAAAATTGTGAAAAAATATTATATGCTCTTTTGAGTGACAGGCTAATGACTTATAAGCACTCCTGCAATGAGAGACACACTAGACTTTAAATGGCATGAGGATTTTTAGCTAGTTCTTCTTGGTCAATTTCCTAGTTTTAGATACTGGATTCTTTCAGACTGAAAATATGTTTTTTGCAATCTCACATGAATCTGTAAGGCAGCTTAATACTGTCCGACTGCATGCAAGAAATTCCCTGCCTGTTTAGTAACTTAGATAATTGTGTTTTGGTTACCTTCTTTAGACATGGCTTCCAAAATGCTGTTACATGCCAGAGTGAGGTCTGAGATGCTCTGCCATTCATCTTCAATAGATGCCTGACCCGTGGACAGCGCTGAAAGGAAGACAGATGACACCATACATGACTATAGACATCTGAGACAGAAAGGGTAGTTGGAGACAGATACAAAAATACGATTCTGGCCTTGAATGAATAAAAAAAAGAAAATTATGACACTGGAGCTTCTCTACAAGTATTTTGGAAGAATATGGACATATGAGATATACAGTACACAAAATGCAGGGTGAGAATAATAATTCCAATGAGACTGAGGATATGGGGCATTTGGAACTCAGAATTGGTGTAGTGCATCATGTTTACAGTGGACATTGAAAGAGAGACAAGCTATTATGAAACATAATAATTTTCGGCAAAAGGGGAATTAAGCATAGGAACCGTACAGACAGGGCAATAACCGAACAAACAGACGAACCAGCATAAAATAAAAGTAATACAAAGACAGAGAGGTCTGTCACAAATAGTGATTAGGGAAAAAATTATCAGGGCTAATTTAGCAATTAGAGGCATTAAGATAGGATTAGAGGTTGGAATTAGCTTTAGGTTTGTTTAAAAGCAGCTGGGTTAGAGGTTCCAGCAGTGTTTTGGATAAGAGAATAAGTTATGAGAGCTAAGTGTAGGGGGGAAAGTTAAATAAGTTAGTGTTAACAAACTCCCTTAAAGTTATAGTTAAAATAACTATAAGAAAAATCTTTACAACTGTATAACTCTGTCTCATTTACTTTATCATAAGAATTCCTAAATGTTCACTGTTTAGTAGTGGTTTGAACAGACAAAATATCCTGTTATACTCTAATACAGATTAAAATAAACCTGGGAGCAAAAGTAAATATAATAATATACCATAATGGAGAATAGGAGAACAAACAACAACTCAATTATCTTGTCCATTGATAAGTCTCCACTCAGGTTTCAAGCTCGTTTAAATGGACCCTATAGAAGCCAGAACCACTTCAGCTTAATGTAGTGGTTCGGGTGTCTATAGCCTGTGCCTACAGGCTTTTCAATGTAAATGCTGGTTCCTTGTAACAACTCTAGTGGTAGTCACTCTGATGGCCACTAGAGGTGCTTCCTATCAGTGTCTCCACGCTCTGCATGATTTAACGCACCTCTATGAAGAGATGCTGACTGGTGCAAGTAAACAAGCAAGTAAACAAGTACTGCATAAAAAACTAGCAGTCTGAATGATAAATTATCTCTCACTTCCTAACGGAGGTGCTCTTGTATAGCACCGAAACACGCGTCAGGTGTTTTGATTTTTATTTTTTATTTTCTATGGACACTACACATTGATCACGGCATGGCACTGAATTTGTTTCACTGTTACCTTTTTTTACTTTAAGTAGATACCATGTTATATTCATCTACCACTGTAGAGGTCTAGTAGTTACATTTAGGAAGTAAGAGATAATTTATCATTCAGACTGCTAGGTTTTTATGCAGTACTTGTTACTATCTGTCTTTTTCACTTTCTTTCAGAGGACTTCTCTGTAACTTATACTCTATCCATAGATATGCCGTGAGCATTCTAAGCTTCACGATATCTATGCTTTGTACCTCCTACAATCCTCTTTTATATATGGCCTCATCTTATTTTTGTATATATATACTATTATACCCTTTCTACTGGTTCTCTTAGGAGGCAGCATTCTATACTATTATGTGCTTATCTAAGTGATTACTGGATACGCTGCCCCAATCAGCATTTTTGAGATCTTATATAGTTTGGGATTATTGTACTACACTAAGTGCATTTCCACATTAGAGGCTAGATTGAGGTGGTAGTTTAATTTACTCTTTTGCTCCCTGTCTGATATAATAGATATAATAGTGTTAATACTGCAGTAGCATATTGAGCCAGATTAATTAAAGCTCATAGTAGCTGTCTGCGGTCTTTTTAATTATAATAGTGATATATGTATATCATCCAGGGTTTATGCTCTTTCTATCTACTTTTTAAATTTACTTAATTTAGGGATATTTTGACCTTTGTACATAATGTATATAATAGACTTCTCCTAGACTACAGTATCTTTCCAGGTATACACAGCTCGCTACATTTGTCTTTTGACATTTGTATATAGCGTTCTGTATTGCTTGATTATTATATATTAATTAAAAGATTAAAATACATATTTAAGTCACGACCACAACAGCTTGTGACCCCTGCTTCTAGATCTTTGTTATTGCCTGTTCGCTACCAGCCCTGACCTTTGGAACCTTGCCTGACTACTCTCTTGGATTTGCCCTTGTCTGTTTCCTCGCACTCAGTTATTGTTCCTGTTAGTGTACAGATTCACAGCCCAGGTAGCTTCTTACCTGGTTACTGTGGGTTGTGTTTATCTGCAAAGGTGAGCAAACATTTCTGCACTTTGGACTCCAACCAAGGTAAGATCGTTACACATGTACCATATGTATATAAGATTACTTTCATCCAAAAACAGAGGCTAGGTCCAAATACTGGCAAGTTCCTGCGTGCACAAATTGGGCTGAACTCTATCCTCTGGGGAGAGGCTGCACATGCATGGACTGCATTCTGAGTTGAATTCAGTGAATTATCAGTTTACAGAGCAGTACCACTAATCCTAAATCAATTCAAGGTAATGCAGCAATCGGTAATGAAAATACTTTTTAAAAATCTGTAATGAAACTTTAATTTATTTTTGTTCACTGGGGGTGTTTTAGATAGTTACATTTAAGTTATTACTAAACTTAATTACAGTGTGTGTTCCAGTTTTTGTTCCATTATACCCAGCTTCTATGAGCACAATATGTTGCCACTGAATTGGTAATGGAAGTGATTAGTATGAGTAGTAACAGTCATATACAGGTGATACTCAAAAAATTTGAATATCGTGCAAAAGTTCAAGCCGTGATTTGTCATAAGTGCGATGATTATGGCTTACAGCTTATGAAAACTCCAAATCCACAATCTCAGTAAATTAGAATATTACATGCAATCAATAAAACAAGGAGTGTATATAGAACAATATCGGACCTCTGAAAAGTATAAGCATGCATATGGACTCAGTACTTGGTTTAGGCCCCTTTTGCAGCAATTACTGCCTCAATGCGGCGTGGCATGGAAGCTATCAGCCGCACTGCTGAGGTGTTATGGAAGACCCCGATGCTTTAATAGCGGCCTTCAGCTCTTCTGCATTGTTCGGTCTCATGTCTCTCATCTTTCTCTTGGCAATGCCCCATAGATTCTCTGTGGTGTTCAGGTCAGGTAAGTTCGCTGGCCAATCAAGCACAGTAATCCCATGGTCATTGAACCAGGCTTTGGTGCTTTTGGCAGTGTGGGCAGGTGCCAAGTCCAGCTGGAAAATGAAGTCAGCATCCCCATAAAGCTCGTCTGCGAAAGGAAGCATGAAGTGCTCCAAAATCTCCTGATAGACGGCTGCGTTGACCCTGGACTTAATGAAGCACAGTGGACCAACACCAGCAGATGACATGGCTCCCCAAATCAACACAGACTGTGGAAACTTCACACTGGACTTCAAGCATCTTGCAGTGTGTGCTTCTCCATTCTTCCTCCAGTCTCTGGGTCCTTGGTTTCCAAATGAGATGCAAAAGTCGCTCTCATCAGAAAAGAGGAATTTGGACCACTGAGCAACAGACCAGGTCTGTTTTTCTTTAGCCCAGGTAAGATGCTTCTGACGTTGTTTGTTGTTCAGGAGCGGCTTGACAAGAGGAATACGACATCTGAAGCCCATGTCCAGGATCCGTCTGTGTGTGGTGGCTCTTGATGCACTGACTTTCACTTCTTGTGAAAGTCCCCAACACTTTTGAATGGCCTTTTCCTGACAATCCTCTCCAGGCTGCGGTCATCCCTGCTGCTTGTGCACCTTTTTCTTCCACACTTTTCCCTTCCATATAACTTTTTATTAATGTGCTTTGATACAGCACTTTGAGAACATCCAACTTCCTTCGCAATTACCTTTTGAGGCTTTCCCTCCTTATGGTGTCAATGATGGTTTTCTGCACAACTGTCAGGTCAGCAGTCTTCCCCATGATTGTGATTCCTACTGAACCAGACTGAAAGACCATTTAAAGGCTCAGAAACCCTTTGCATGTGTTATGGCTTACTTAGTTTATTAGAGTGGGACACTGTGAGCCTAGAATATTGCACCTTTTCACAATAATCTAATTTACTGAGATTGTGGATTTGGGGTTTTCATGAGCTGTACGCCATAATCATCGCACTTATGACAAATCACGGCTTGAACTATCTTGCTTTGCATGTAATGCGTCTATCTCATATATTAGTTTCCCCTTTTACGTTGCATTACTGAAATAAATTAACTTTTGCACGATATTCTAATTTTTCAAGTATCACCTGTATAGTCTATACAAAATGATATCTGTTGTTCTTAGTGCAAGACATAATGTACAGTTTGCACAAGCTTGGCATGGCTACTTTATAAAAAAAATATACATGTGGTTTGGAACATGCCAGTAGGGTGTAACACGTCTTTGTTTTCCACAAATAGGTAGTGTTTCAGCTGCCAAAAGGCTAGCATATATTGTTTAAGAAAAGCACAAGGTTTTTCTATTATAATAATGTTGCTTTTTCTATACATGAGAAGACATCTGCTGTTTGGAACACATATTATTTTCAAATAATCCTTTCACAACGCCATTACAACACACAATGGCATCTAGAGTGTGTTGTGTTTTTTGTTGTTGTTTTTTTTAAATTCATTCCCTTGCTACATTTCCTATAAGAATCATGTCTTTCCTACAAAGATTGATTGCAGAAATTGGTTGTGGTGAGACCACACAATAAACAATGCAGAAGTTGATGCAAATTCAAAAAAATATTGTTATGCATCACACCCAAATCTTTTTGTCTCCTATCTTCTCTGCAGAAGAAGTGCAAAGGAGTTTAAGCATGCGTGGGATAGACATAAGGCTATCCTAACTATAAGATAAGGCTAGGGACTAATGAAAGTATTTAGAAAATTGGGCAGACTAGATGGGCCGAATGGTTCTTATCTGCCGTCACATTCTATGTTTCTATAATAATGGAGACACACATGGAATATGATAGGGTTTCATATTCCCTTTGCGTTTCTGTCACTGCTCTGTTTCTGCTTCTGGTCGAAGCTCACTGAGGATTCTCCACAAATTGCGCACACAAACACATACACGGGGTCATTCACTAAACTCTGAATTCTGCCATTCAGACTAAAAAAATGACATTGTTCTTGGAATTTGGTCCAGACTGAATTTCAGGGACGGCTGATATCCTGACCAAATGCTTTGAATCCAGGCCTGCACGGGTTTTCCTGCTGTGTGGATTTGTTGAAGATTGTGGATCCCCCTATAGTGCTCTGGTGGTTGCAGTTGCTAATCTGCTATGACCCTGTGTGCAACACAATCATTTTTAACTTCTCCATATACACATTACAGCTGGTTGTGCACTATTATTCTATCTGAAAGCTGTACATCTCTCTGCAAGTTCTTGATGTAACCCTGTGTTTTCGCTTTGCTGTTATACAGTAATAAGCCCCTCATTTATATTAAATGCATAACAATTATGTAAATATTTAACCCATAGACAAACGCATGTCAGCACTTGGAAAGACCACCTTTTCCAACTAATAAAATCACATCTCTCACACCAGTTACTAAAAGTGTCTTCTAGTTCTACACCTTGCATTTCCTGTAGCGAATAAGACAGTATCAAATGTTTTGTTAAGAAAAGTTAGATGAAAAAAATGTCACTTCTGCTACCATAGCACACTAACTATTTTTCATGTTTAGTCGACTCGAGCAGACATGTTTCATTGCACTATACCACAAAAAAATATCAGGAACTGTATGAGTCATATGATCGGTTATATACCAGTGTATCAGATGACAGTGAGAAAGCAAGTGGAGTCAAAACTCAATCAATATAATTTCATCTCTTGATGATATATGGAGCTACTTGCAATACCTTCAGTAGTATTCACTATAGTAAGAATTTCAAATGTATGGGCAAATTAGCTGAACTGGAAAGATCCTCTAAGTCACTTGTGCTTTCAGTTTTGCTACTCTCGCCTTAAATCTGAAATACACTTAGAATTTTCACTTTAGTAAATAATTCTGATTGAGTATTAATAAGGGCAAAATGGAGAGACTGGAATAGTACAGAAATAAAAAAAAAGCACATACGGTTCTGGATGGGTTCCTGAAAAGAGGACATAGTTGAAAGATTTTCTTCATGAATTAAGTCATCTGATTCAAATATGTCTTCTTCATGGGGGCAAGCAGTGTCATCCATATTCTAAGAGACAAAAATGAGGCAGCATGTACAGAATAAGTCTAATAATATTGTGTCTAGAGTCAATACACAGAAATATGAGATTCTGTTAAAGCAGCATAGTGAACATGTAATGCTGCTGGATATTATGCATTTTTAATAAGCATCTTATAAAATAAACAGTTGAGAGGTTTACAGGGAAATCAGTAATAAATTAATATATCGTAGAAAAGAGTTTAAAGGAACACGCCAATTGCATAACCACTACACCATGTTGCAGTGATTATGGTGCCAGGAGTGCTCAGGTGCCTTTTCAGAGTAACTAACAACTTTTTGCAGTGCAGGAATTATCCGATTTGCTGAGAGAACTTAGCTGATGCTCTCAGCTAATGAGATGGCCCTGCAGTGCAGGCATATACTGGATCCCCCCGAAACTGACCAGTGGTCCCCAGGTACGTTGTTAAACCATCTCAAAACGGTTTGACTATTTACCTCCGTAAGGGCGCCAAGACACTCCTGGCACTATAAACACTACAGTGCGCTGTTGTGGTTGGGGTGCTTGGAGTTTTCCTTTAAAGGACCACTATAGTGCCAGGAAAACATACTCGTTTCACTGGCACTATAGTGCCCTGAGGGTGCCCCCACCCTCAGGGTCCCACTCCCGCCCGGCTCTGGAAAGAGGAAAGGGGTTTAAACGTACCTTTTTCCAGCGCTGGGCGGAGAGCTCTCCTCCTTCTCTCCTCCTCCTCTCCGCCCCGTCGGCTGAATGCACATGTGCGGCAAGAGCTGCGCGCGCATTCAGCCGGTCACATAGGAAAGCATTCATAATGCTTTCCTATGGACGCTGGCGTGCTCTCACTGTGAAAATCACAGTGAGAAGCACGCAAGCGCCTCTAGTGGCTGTCAATGAGACGGCCACTAGAGGATTAGGGGGAAGGCTTAACCCATTAATAAACATAGCAGTTTCTCTGAAACTGCTATGTTTATTAAAAAAATGGGTTAACCCTAGCTGGACCTGGCACCCAGACCACTTCATTAAGCTGAAGTGGCCTGGGTGCCTAGAGTGGTCCTTTAAGTACGAAATAGTCTAGGAATCTAATGGAAAATCTCCCCCTGTCTTCCATGAAAATAAAATGTAATTCTAATAGCACACTAAATAAGAATCAATCTACAGTGAAATGATTAGTGTAAATATATAATATATATATATATATACATATATATATATATATTACACATTTGTATTGTTACAGTACGTGCCGATAGCAGACACACACCTGTAAGGAGTTGCTCACAACTACTAGCAAATTAAAAGCTCCATCTGATAAAATAGATCAAAGAGACAGTAGTTATATCTCTAGTTGGATTTTGATTGTCTCTAAACACTAATAAGCAATCAGATGACATCATAGAATTGAAATGTGGAATGTCTCTGAGCCTTGAAATTACTTTAGTTAATTTGGCAAAAAAAGGCAAACAGGCTGATTGTTACTTTTACGTAAGTTGAAGTACTATGCAAGGCCTTGCTAAAGACAAATTTAAGGACATTACATTCTACAGGACTCTAATGCATGGTGTTAAATGATCAACCCTATACAAAAGAAACAAAGAATTATCTACATATCTCACCAGTTCTTCTCCTGCAGGGTCTGGCTGAGGAATAATATCAGGGGGAGCCAGATCATTTTCATACCTGAGAAAATATAAGCATTAACACAGAACATTGTAAACAGTAACAATAAAAATCAAAGGAATTGAATTGTGGAAGTAAAATAAGAAAATTCACTATTGCATTATCATTGGGTATAATTGGTGGACTCAAAGCTAGGTAAAGAATGCTATGCAAGAAGAATGAATATGGGGGTAGATGAATTGCATTATATGGATCCAGGGAGTAGTAAATTAGACACGAGAAAGAAGCTGTGTGTGTGAATTGAAAAGCTAAATCTATATTTCTGTAAATTTATTTAATATGCAGCGACTCAATCATTTTAAATGTATCAGCTGAACTGCAGCTTCCTCTCCTGAAATCTTTCTAAATGCATACAGACTTCAAACTATAAAGTGTACTGCAATAAGTTAATGCTAGCATGGATATCTTTAAATATGCAGATTTATTAAAGGTACAAGCTAGCACATAAATTGAAGTGAAAAGAATAAACAAAACAAGACAAACTTTGTCTTCTAACAAGCCGTTCAGCAAACAAATGGGTGAGATCAAGAGTCATCTACTGCCTGCGGAACATTCTGGCAACATATTTTGAGATCTTCGTATTTGCAATATTAAACAAAGGTATGAATAGAGCCCTATAGAGCAGTTTTACATCCATTGAAGAAAACATTGGAAAGATTATCTGATCTGCACTGAACAAAATTATAAACGCAACACTTTTGATCTAAGACTTTTTTTTTTTTTTGTACACAAAAGGCCTATTTCTGTCAAATATTCACAAATCGGTGTTAGTGAGCACCTCTCCTTTGCTGAGATGATCCATCCACCTCACAGGTGTGGCATATCAAGATGCTGATTAGACAGCATGATTATTGCAAAGGTGTGCCTTAGGCTGGCCACAATAAACGGCCACTCTAAAATGTGCAGTTTTATCACACCGCACAATGATACACATGTTGCAAGTTTTGAGGAAGCGTGTAATTGGCATGCTGACTGCAGGAATGTCCACCAGAGCTGTTGCCCATGAATTGAATGTTAATTTCTCTACCATAAGCCATCTCCAAAGGCGTTTCAGAGAATTTGGCAGTACATCCAACCGCCCTCACAAACGCAGACCACGTGTAACCACACCAGCCCAGGACCTCCACATCCAGCATCTTCACCTCCAAGATCGACTGAGACCAACCACCCTGACAGCTGTTGCAACAATCGGTTTGCATAACCAAAGAATTTCTGCACAAACTGTCAGAAACCGTCTCAGGGAAGCTCATCTGCATGCTTGTCATCCTCATCAGGGTCTCGACCTGACTGCAGTTCGTCGTCGTAACCGACTTAAGTGTGCAAATGCTCACATTCGATGGCGTCTGGCACTTTGGAGAGGTGTTCTCTTCACATATGAATTCCGGTTTTCACTGTACAGGGCAGATGACAGACAGCGTGTATGGCATCGTGTTGGTGCGTGGTTTGCTGATGTCAACATTGGGAATTGAATGGCCCATGGTGGCGGTGGGGTATGGTATGGGCAGGTGTATGTTATACGACAGCGTGTTCCAGGTCCTGCCAATATCGAGCAACTTCGAACAGCCATTGAAGAGGAGTGGACCAACATTCCACAGGCCACAATCAACAACCTGATCAACTCTATGCAAAGGAGACCTGTTGCACTGCGTGAGGCAAATGGTGGTCACACCAGATACTGACTGGTTTTCAGACCCCCGCACCCGCTCTCTTCCCCAACCCCCCTCCCAATACAGGAAAACTGCACATTTTAGAGTGGTTTTTCATTGTGGCCAGCCTAAGGCACATATTTGCAATAATCATGCTGTCTAATTAGCATCTTGATATGCCACACCTGTGAGGTGGATGGATTATCTCGGCAAAGGAGAAGTGCTCACTTACACAGACTTAGACAGAATTGTGAACAATATTTGAGAGAAATAGGCCTTTTGTGTACATAGAAAGTCTTAGATCTTTGAGTTCAGCTCATGAAAAATGGGGGCAAAAACAAGTGTTGCGTTTATAATTTTGTTCAGTGTATCTATCTAAACCAGGGGTAGTCAACCTTTTTACTACCTGCCGCCCACCGTATCTTTGTTGGTGGTAAAATTTCCTTTCCGCCCACCAGTGCCACAGTAACTCATTTTATAGTGTAAGTGCATTACACAACACTCAGTGCCAGCAGGCCAGTGAGGGAGATCTTTGATCTCCTCACCAGCCTGATAGGACTTTCAGCAAGGCTGGCTTTGCATGGGTCGGTAGGAAAGATGAAAGGATCTCCCCTCCTGACCTTGGTCCATGGCCATTGAGGCTGTTTTCTGCAGGACCCACCACTGCCCATTTGAAATCCCAAAGCGCCCACTAGTGGACAGTAGAAACCAGGTTGACTACCCATGATCTAAATGTTGGTTGGGAGAATGCTTAAACCTTTGCTACCAAAGAATGGTGAATGGGAATCCACAAATGTATATAATTACTTCACTGTTTTTATTTAAATCTGCAGGCATCTCTTATCATCCCAGCAATGGTCACATTTCTATATAGCATGTGCAGAATAGGGATACAGCAATGTTAATACAATCATCTGTTTCATGATTAATTTGGAAGAATTCTAAAATGAAACTGTTGTACTTCTCCAATGTGTTTAGCTTTTTTCATTGTTACTGTAACTGTTGTTTTGAGTTTGAGAAAATGCAGATCTACTCATTGAAGAGCTTATTGATAAGGAATTCAGATAACTGATTTAAAGAGACAAGGAAATAGCCATGTATATTTAGTTAAAAACATGTCTCTCGTGGCTATCGAACAGAGGGCCATTATTCTTACTTTCTCCTTAAATGACCTCCCGTTCAGCATCAGCAGAAACAGTAGACTACACTAAACATGGACAGTACTTCTCTGGATTCAGTACTTCTCTATAAGAAGCATCCGACTGGACAAAAGTATCAGAACTGATAATTTCATTAGAAGAGGATCATCTGCTGCGAGGAGTGTGCATCATAAAGGGAATCAACACAGTAAAGGAGGAGACTATATTTAAAAGAAGAAAAACTACCATAACAAGAGGACATAGTCTTAAATTAGAGGGACAAAGGTTTAAAAATAATATCAGGAAGTATTACTTTACTGAGAGGGTAATGGATGCATGGAATAGCCTTCCAGCTGAAGTGGTAGAGGTTAACACAGTAAAGGAGTTTAAGCATGCATGGGATAGGCATAAGGCTATCCTAACTATAAGATAAGGCTAGGGACTAATGAAAGTTTTTAGAAAATTGGGCAGACTAGATGGGCCGAATGGTTCTTATCTGCCGTCACATTCTATGTTTCTATCAGCACTGGATTACACGTAAGTTTTATAGGTCTTGCTTTACACCAGCAAAAGGGCTTATTTTCAGTTTCTGAATCTGCAACTCCATTTAGTAAATAGCAAATGGTGTTGCTTTTCATAAAAAAACACTTGTACTCGGGTCTGAACCTCTTACTAATCTGCATCACCGCACAATTACACCAAAAACATAATATGATTTTATATGTAATCTGGTATCTCAAATGAGTTTTGTCTCACTTATGACACTCTTACAGGGTTATTCACTTAAGTGGGAACAGTCAGGAGTTCGACGTGAATTAAAGATTCAAAGCCAAAGTAGCTAAACTAGTACCATACAGGATTTCAATTGTAAGGTCAAGACAGCCAACATGAATACAGAATTGATTTGGAGATTTTTTCTAAATCTTCCATGGTGGACTAAATTGTGAAATTCACTTTAATTCCTGGTAATTTTCATTTTAGTAAATAACACTGCTTAAAGGGACACTATAGGCACCCAGACTATTTCATCTGGATGGAGTGTCCATGCCCCCCTTAGCCCTATAATGTAAATCAATGCAGTTTTAGAGAAATTGCAATGTTTAACTTGCAGTAGGAATACTGCCTGTAGTGGCTATCTACCAAATAGCCACTAGAGGCGCTTTCTAAATTTTGACTCCGTGAATATACACTGGACTTCCTTATACTCTGCATTATGACATACAGTGTCAAGGAAAACCACACAGGAAAACTGAGACAATGCTTTCCTCTGGGGAAATCCAAATGCGCTTGCGGCACATGTGCATTAGGTCCCCCATCAGTTGGTGTTGTTGGAGGTGTAAGTGGATAAAGGGTTATTTAACCCTTTACAATGACGGGGGGGAGGGGGAGGGCTGAGGAACACATTAGTAATACATCTTTATATTGCTAACACTAAAATGTTCCTTTTAAAATCTAGATCTTGAACAGCTCAATCACTCTCAAATCTTGGACATAATTACTCTCCAGATGTATTAAAAGCATGAAAAAAATACAGAAAACATGCTCATCGCCAAAAAGGCATTTACAGCCAGAAGGGCGTTGGCCCATCACCTGGACCAAGCTTCATTAACTTTGCAGTTTTAAATCCATTGCATTCTCACAGAGCCATGGGACAACTCAACACTCAACTTCATGATTCACTCCATCTTTGCTAGAATGTCTGGATGCCAGAATGGGACACCTCGCCTTACTTTGATCAGATTAGCAGACTCCATGTGCGACTATCTCTCTGCCCCCTCTCTCTTTTCTATATATAATTGTTAGGCAGGGGTGAATTATACATTTTCTTTCCTCGACTGATTAATAGCACATTTGATCCAATCTTAGTCTTGCAGACAGTTTTTTCTGTTTGTTTTTTTACTAGATGTGATGTCTGATATCTTTCCCGTAGACAACTTTAAAATTGTGAAATGGTAGCCTTTTTTACTTGGTATACTTGCAATGAATACTATCACTTTCCTAATAAAAAGGAACACTGTAATTCAAATAAAAACATATTGGGGCATTCCCTTGTTCAACACTGGCATGCAATTTAGTACCTCTTATGTGATCGGCATAAACACTGTATTAACAAAACAGAGAAATAAGTGCTCTGATTAGGAATCAAAGAAAAATAGGTTTATTTTCCATCAGACATTTCATACCCTCCACAGGAAGATTTCCATATTAGTGTTGTAAGGCAACCAAGTAAATACAGAAATACTAGCATAAATGTTTATATGTGCACTGGAGCCTTTGTGTCACCATTCATTATCCATAGATGGTGAAGAACTGCCATGTTATAGACATCTGCAGACTCCAACGCAATATAGTCAAACCTAAATTGAATTGTCAAATAAGTATTAATTGAATTTTAGTATTTGTTTAAATAACTGAGTTCTTTGTCCTTTCACTTCCCCTTAGAGGTTATTTTCTCTCCTCTATATTTTATGCTCAATTGTTTAGTTCCCCCTCCTTTGACATTGTGCTCAGTCTCTCTTCTTCCCATATTACATTTGTGTGCTGCACGGCTCTCTTTGTCCTATCTCTTGCCTGCTGGTCCTGTTGTCCTTGTCTACTTCTTGGTTCTATTATGTTATGTGAAAGCTCAGTTCTGTTAAGTGCTTGCCTCCCCTACATTTTTTTGTTGTTGCCTATGCTTCTAAAATAGACCAACTAAGGTGTAACTAGGCAGCGTGGGCGAAACACAGGGGCAATATTTCAAAGCAAATGCCTATGCACTCAAAGAGTTTTTTGTTAATATATTATAAAGCTCTAACCAATAAAGTCTGCTCACGAAAACTGCTAACTATTTAAGTATTTTTTATTCCCTGTCTTTCATGCCGAGATGCATGTAATAGTCAGGTGCATGGCATTAGCAGGGAGAGTGTGCTCTGGAGGCCCAACCAAGTTGCCCCAAATATGTACCAAAATATATGCACAGAATATGGGCTTGACCTGCCAGATAGGATGTGCCACAAATGGGAGCTGAAAGTGGAAGGGATAATATGTGGGACCACACAGACAAGTGAATACTGGCCAATCTACCATGCATTTTGGTGACAGATAAGTAATGGAAGACTGCAATGGTTGTGGATGGGGCAATACCCAGTGACCACAACAGCAAGAAGGAGGAACATACGAGGTGGACAAATACCAAGGGCTGAAAGAGGAGCTAGAAAGAATGTGGAAAGTGAAGGCCATAGTTGTCCAAGTGGTGACAGGAGCCCTCCGGGAGAGCGGCTTGTGGCAGATTCCAGGTGGGACACTTAAAGATTCTGTCCAGAATTTTTTTTTATTTAGGTCTGGGAATCTGAGGGTTTTGTACTGTATTTTAGTTGTTTCCAGAATTGCACTCTTCTGTCTTCTGGACAGAGATTTTAAATGTCCCTCCTGGAATCTGCTGAAACCGTAATACATACACACACGCACGCGTGCACACTTACTGGTGCAGCAATACGATCAATCTCAGAAACATTACTTTTTCTTAATGCTGACATTGTTGCAGGCAGGAATATTCTCACTAACACATATTCAAGCACCATCTCCATAACCTTTACTCTTTTCGATGCAACGTATGACAGTTAACAACAAAACATCACCAAATTTACAGCAAACATCAGCTATTTCAGGACTCCAATCATTCTCTGGTTTAGTTTTATTCACTGTGTATTTCTAAAGTAGAGGTATCATTTTGGACTCTTCTTTCTGCATCTTTTGTCTTATGTCAAAACAATACTGGTTGCCTTATGACTCAAATCCCTGCCATCAGCAATAAACATCTCCATTATTGGCTGATACTGTCAGCAGAATTATCCTTCCCTTCGTAAAGCAGCACTGTCACCATCTGGGGACTTTCCATAATTCGCAAAGACCCCCGACAGTGACATCACCGCAGGTAGTCTGGTAGCCAGTGGGGGGTGGGGGCAGGGAAAGGTGAGATTTACTTACCTTAACCTGTCCCTTGCGGGCGCCTCCATCTCCTTTTGGACTGTCCTCTTCTGCTCTTGGCGCTTCAGCGCCAGGAGCCAACGTCACTGCTGTACTCTTGAGCATGCAGAAGAGATACCGCAATTACAGATAGATTTTGGCCTTATCAGTGAGCTCCAGCTGATACCTCTCTTTGGTCTCAGCAAGGGTTTACGTGTAAATTACCCTTCTGCATTAGGAAGACTATAATCATATGCATATTTGCTAAAATTGAGTTCACGAGAACAAAGCGAACAAGCAAAAACTGCCTGCAAAAGCTGGCCTTTCAGTAACTCTTCACTCAGTTCTTATCTAGGTTTTTGCTCACTTGTGCCATTACAGAGAGAACCTATACAATTTGCCTATAAGATTGATTCCACCCATAAGGGCATTGCAGAACTCACATGCTAAAATAATTGTCTGGGGTTGCTTTGTTATTGTTTGAGTTGCAAGCTTGTCTTGAGGCGTAATGTTCATAATTTTTTAAATGACACTCAATTCACCATAAACTTGGCTTTATTTTACAGGAGGGACTTTATTCTTGCAAGTTCCTTTTTAATACTAAGACACAACTTAGATATGGTTTGGCTTTATATTAAGATTAGTCTTGCTTCAACTGTTGCTAATGGTGTTGGTTTGGCTTTCACAGTCATTTGCAATAGTGGCCCAATCAAATGTTGAAATAATATCATGACAGTAAGTTAGTAAGACACATACAATAATCAGAAATGGCATGCCGCAAAACAAATGCCAGATAACATGCATGAATTTTGGCAAACTAAATTAGAACAACAACATTTAGAGAAAAATAACTATTTTGGTCTCTTTTGCAAATCAGATTTGTTTAGCTAACTTTTACTGAATAACTAAGTCTGAGTTCCTAAAATTCACATTTGCATGTGATGTTTTCTAATACAGTCCTATTTCATGTGCTTTCCCCCTATTCTGAAGACAGCAATTACAATTTACAACTAACAGAAAACTTTCTTATCCTGTCTAAAACTGAATTTTATAAGCGTATCTAAAACAGAATGATATATGAAAAACAACCATTTCATCATGAAGCAACATGAAGGGTGGACATCTCAACAGCTAGGTATGGTTTTACCTGAACTCTGTCCTCTCCTCTTGTACAGACAAAGTGCGGAGAAGGCTCTGAGTCTCAGATGGAGGCTCAGCTTTTCTATCCATTGTCTCCTCCTCATCTTCACCTCCTCGTGAGGTTTTCAGAACTCTTTTCTCCTGCAGTGATCTGACATACAATTCAGAATAGCACCTGTGGGGTAACAAGCAAGAGAGCATTTAAGCTACTCGCTTTCCCTACAAGCCAACTGCCTGTTACATGTTCTCTAACCTTACCTGCGTGGCTTTCCTGACTCATCTGGTGGCAGAGTGGTGACTGTCACCTTCCTGGCACTTAGGAAGAGAGAACGCACATCATCAGGTGTAAGAGAGCAAAAGGGCTGACCACAGACTGCTACTAGGCGTGTTCCAGGGCTGAGTCCCACCGTTTCTGCCATGCTGAATCTCTCCACTTCTGTAACAAAGCCACCAGAATCTGCAATAAATCCAAGCTGTCCGAGACCATTCCTCAGTAGCGAAATCTCTCGTGTCTCACAGCCACCAGAAACTACCTAAAATAGAAATAGAATGGTAAGATAAAGGATTGGAATTTAATTACAAATGTGAGAGTTTATCATTTAATCTTCTACCATATACATGTTCAATTCCAAAGAGCTGTAAGAAACAAGTACCACTGGAAAGTAACTTGTAACATGGTTTGATGCCTTTATTTACAAGTTGTTAAATGTAAGTCAGTGATTCTCAACTTTCTTTGACAGGACCCAAATGCATACATGGCAGCAGTTTGGAAGCCTATTCTTCAGTTTTAACAGACCTTTGTAATCCCTTTTACAACTGTTAATACTGTTATGTGATATAAAATAGAGAGCCAGACCCAAGGGTTAAAAACCATGGGTGTAATGTTTATGTAAAACATTCTACTAATAATTTACCATGAATAGAGCCTTTTTGTAGCTGATAAAACAGAGTATCTACATCTTATGATCTTTCAGAAGCTCAAATGATACTGATGCTTCTCAGCTGGAGGAGTTAACATTAATCCCTCATTTGTATGTACACCATGAATGTTGTGCCGCATGTGTGTTTAAATAGATATTATAATGGAATGACAGGAAATTAACATTTTATTGCAGGCTGTGCCTTGACAATCTCACAATTGTTATCAAGAATAACTGAAAAAAAACAAAAACGGGCAATATTTAAAGCATAACAATAGTAGTTTTAACCCCTTTGGGATAGCGGATGTCCTCTGTACCACCTCGACACTTACACTCTCTTAGCAATAGGGGTGTATTTCTTAATATCAAATGTCCCTTTACCTTGTTGATTGTGACATGTACTGGGGTATTGCTGTGTGGCTCAGGAATTTGTAAGCTCAGCAACACTGCATCTGAGTTTGTTCCGGTCACTGATACAAGCTGTCACAGTGTTTTACCGATGCCGCAGGGCTAAAGGCAACATCTGCCAAGCTGTACATGCCTGGATCCCATACTGTACAGTATTTGATATCATTTGAAATATATAGTGTATATTAAACTTCTCAAATCACACAATTTGATTGTGTGGCACATGAATAGCAGCTGCCTTATTAACTTATTTGAATTTCATTACCCTCTATATGCTGACAATACTCAGATGTACCTCTCATCTGCCCTCCCAGAACATGTCACAAACTTCCTTTCTATCATTTTTAACTGTATATCCCCCCCCCCACCCCCTCCTTTAGTATTCCTCCTCCATCTACCTCCATACACATAAATGTGAAACCTATTACCCTAACCCCTCAAGCTCGCTGCCTTGGAGTTATTTCCAACTCAGCTTTTCTTCCCACATCCAGTCTGTCTCCAAATCCTGTAACTTCCACCTCAAAAATGTTGCCCGCATTCACTCTTTTTTATTTCCCAAGTTGACTATTAAAACTCACTCATCGACCTTTCAAATACCCATAATGCCCCTCAGTTCAGTCTGTAATAAATTCTGGTCCCAGGCTCATCTTCCTGACTGACCGCCACTCCCACACCTCACCTCTGTGCTAAGCACTTTACATTGACTTCCTGTACTCTTCAGGATCCAGTACAAACACTAACCTGCAAAGCCCTGACTCACTCCACTGCCCCACTACATTTCGTCTTTACACAACAAATACAACCTTTCTTGTCACTTTCGTTCTGTGAACAACCTTTTCCTGACAACTCTCATCTGCATGACCTTTAATGGTCTGCTTCATTTTTTGGGAATTTCCTACCTTGTGCCATGAGACTGTCTCCTAGCCTTCAGTCCTTTAAGAAGTCACTAAAAACAAACCTCTTTGGAAAGTTTACCATCTTCCTGGGTGATGCTCCTCTCACTACAATTGCCCTCCTATGTTCCCTCGCCTGCAAAGCCACACACCACTTTTACTAGCTTCACAGTTTGTAAGCTCGTTTGAGCGAGGCTTTCTTCACTTCTTGTTTCAGTTAATTTTTGTACATCAATTACTTGTTCTCAAATACCCCATTCTACAATTGTAAAGCACTGCAGATTATGTTTGAAAATACATAAATGCCAGTAATTATAATAATACTAATTTTCAATCCAAAAAGAGCACAAGAGAATACTGAGAACAAACAACAACTCAAATAGATCGCTCTAATACTACGCCTGTCTAATCATCCTATGTCTGTGTGCCTTTTTACAAATTTTGAGCAAAATGACGGGACTGTGTTTTCAGCCAGCCAGGACTGAGGTAACCAAGAATCACACAGGCTCAATCAATGTTAACAGAATATCATTCATGTTGTGAACTGTCATATTGAATGCTTGTTGATGATAAAGGTATCTTTCTGCATAGTCCTATCTAAGGTCAAACAAAGAACTTCAAGGTCGCTGCTGATAATTGTGCCTGTTAATTTTAAAGTTTAAAGTGCGTGCATTCGGATGCTTACGACCAAATTGAAATGCTGGTCATAATTATGAAAATATAATGCTGACCTTTCTCATTCATATTTATAACCTGTATTTCAATTTGTGACTGTTACTACCTATTAGTACCAACTGCATTCTGCAAATGGTGGTGCACAGAACAGAGGGTGGCAAGGATCCTGCTCAAACTTACATTCTAGATTGAATGTGATTTTATTTAAATGTCTATGTACCAGGACACGTTTACCTAATATGCAATAAAAAAAATTTGGACTTTTTATAAGGACTTTTATATATATTTTGCGGTAGTGTATATTATTATCTCTTTACACACTGCTTACATATGTCCTACTTTTATTTTATTTTACTATTATTGTTTTAATACATTTTCTACTGTTACTGAGATCCTGCTTTTGGAGTATCTTCGAAGCCAGTTACTGGCACCCAAACGTTGATCATATAGAGCCTGGCACAGCTCTACATTTACTTCAAAGAAAGAACCTTGCTGTTACCATTAGACACAATTATTAGGAAGTATACCCACACAAGTATCACATTGGGTGTTGTATTGAGGTGGTAATTGCATTATCACTTATATCTGCTATTAATAAAAAACCATTACACGATCTACTGTAATGCAGGGGTTTCTGCCTTCTTATAGCAGCTAATATGTTAGGAGGTTGCACAGAGATGCTCTCTGTGCAGCATCATTCCCCATGAAAAGACAAACACTTACCACATCCATTTTGAGACATCCAGTTTTTTTTAGACTACAGGACTAGGCCCCTTGTAACTGCGCACAAATTGAAATCATGATCAATAGCTTTTCATAAAGCGCTGGGCTGTAATGTCCTGAGAGACTTGAACCCTGATAGAGAAACCCTCCATGTTCAAGAAAAGCCAAATTGTGTGGCTTTTAGTCAATAAAAAGAAAAATTAAATGATTCTAATAAAAACTGAGCTTCTGAGACTTTACTATTAGCTTTCTGAAATCATTCTAAATAGATTTCTAACCTCATGAAGCGATAACCTCTAACCACTTCCCTGTACTTGAAACCCTCATGCTTGCAATGTATACAGTTCTACCGTTCAATCATATCAGTTCCATAGCTCTGGCGTGACTAATAATCTAACCAGACCCCTTCCTGCACTCACGTTGTTGGGGGGGGGGGAGGGGCGGGAGGGCATTTGCAGCTACTGGCTGAATAGGCACTGTGCCAGGCAATATTGCACACAGACAAGAGATAAAGATCTATTTCAATGTTTCCATGTGCGGAAAAATGAAACAAAATATTATTGCATAAAAACCCTGTATTCGTTTTGGTAATACTCACATATCACACTATTGTCCCAATGCTACCCATTGTTTCCAGATCATATTTTTAATTTGCATTTGTTAAATATTTCTCAAAAATCTGCGATTCATAATCTTAAATTGCTCTCTGGCAATATTCACATTGCTCTCTGGCAATACTGCTCTGTAATTATTGCCTATTCTACTCTTATACTTTTTCATATTTTTTGATATTCATAAACCTTTATGTATTTCAAATCTATGCCTTCGCCATTTACATTTATAGTAAAATATACTGTATATTATAATCCTTACTGAGAGCAATAACAGTCTTAATGGTAACCATAAAAGATCATCATTTAATTCCATTAGGACTAGGGTTTGGCAAATATGTTATCATGATTGTACTAATATTTGTTCTGAAAGGGTTATCGAGACTCAAAATTTAAACTCACCAACTAGCCAATGATAAATTGAAATCCAGCTCTGATAAGAGTCAGGATCATTAGTGCTATTTGATAGCAGCAGTTTAATAATAGTGGCTGCATGGTTGGTGTATGTGCCTATCAAGGATGAAAACAAGCATTGCACCAGTTTAAAGCTCTGCAGAGACTGTAGAAAACTGCTGTCAGCCTACTGCCCTAATGCAATTCAGACAACGTGCAGGAAGTGGATCAAATGCTGCAACAAACATCCTGCATACCTCCAAAAAGGCTGAAGATTTATAGGGGGACAGATTACATTATGTTTCTCCTGACTCCACATGCAGATGCACAGAGGCAAAGTTAATAATAAAGTAGCCTCTTAACGTAGAGCCACTGTCCATACATCTAGAAAGAGGGGCTTTGCCTTCACCAATAACTTTTTGATCTGACCAGTATCAAAGCACTTTGAAATTCAAGTTGTGAGTGACTTATTGTTTAAATTCTTCAGGCCCATCAACATGTCAATGTTGCGGTGGTAGCAGATGTGCTTAGCATGGTCTTCAAAGGCTAAATACAGCTTCAACAAGTGGATCATTTGGATCTTTTCACCTTTTCTGAAGTAGCAGTGCCATAAATCCTGGACTATACATTGGCATTGAGGACTTTAATTGTCCAGATAAGCTTTAACTAAGCTCCCTCTCTCATGTCACATTACTCTTGATGTTTCTATTTACTTTTGGGCACTCACCTACAATCACACCACCATTTCACTACTATTAACTCCTACCCTATTTAAAGTAAATGTATCTTTCATAGTTATTTTGAAGCATGGCTGTTTACACTGCACAACTCCTTTAATAGGCTACTACACATAGGAATGTTTTGAAGCACCATCCGTCTTCCAGTAGCAACACTAGCACTGTTGCACCACACCAGGATGTGAGATGTATACAATTTTAAGTAACTATATATACTGTGTAAGCGTTTTTTTTACCAGGCTCTGGCACATAACAGGACAACATATTTAAACCTTGGTATTCTAAACCATGCTCAAATTGAGACTGCTAAATTTCAAGAGCCATGACAACCACTACTTGCTTTAACCTATTGATCACCCAATGATAACTCTCCCAGGGGCAGAGAATAAAAATGTTTTTTACATTTCTAAATAAAAAGTAATAAAATAAAAAGTATGTAAGGTGAAACTTCCTTATGTAATTGTCTGATTTCAGTTTCCTTTTACCTCAAAATTAGCTGTAAACCTTCTCATATTCAGAACATTTAAACATTTTTTGTTGGTTGACACATCAACATTTAAATGCCTCATACTCTCTCCACACTCCTACCTTTAAACATTTACACTAATATTACATCCAAACTGCAAAGTAAACTGGATTTGAATAAACATGGATTGGTAATTTTACTCCCAGCATACTCAAATGCCTCTTTGTCCTTTCTCTTTCTTACCTGCAACCTCTTTACAATGTGATTCACTTCCTCTTCCACCTCTCCATCACTTCCAGCAATTGGTCGCAGTCCCAGTTTACCTGCTCGTCCATAGTACAGGTCTAGACCTCCTTTTGAAGAGTAAGTCCACCCCAATACATCCCGGCATGAGCAATGGAAGCACACTGCTCCCTCTTTTTCTTTTTTTGAATCTACCAAAACCAACATTTCAGAAGATATTCCAAGTAAATATATTCCCTCAGGGATAAAAGAGCTCAAGACTCTAACAGTCCACACTAGAGCCCCAGGACTGTGGAACTCTGGAGGTATGGTGTATGTCCAGCGAGGGCCCTTTCCAGCCTTCTCACTTGGACCAGTACTGCCAGCTCTGTCCCGTTTTTTTGAAAGACTTAATATGGCTAGCTTGGAAGAGCAAGAGTCCAGGGTAGCTGTAGTAGCATGGTCACGAGCCAAGTCCCTCAGGTATTCTTCTCTGGTTCGTGTTGCCATGGCCAAAAATTTGCCCCCACGTTCAGCTGCATTCTCGCCATTTACTGCCTTCGAGAGCAGAAAGTCTCGGAGTTCAGGTGACCTGCGAAAGTATGTGGTAGGCAAAACAGGGCCAAATGATTGGGTGTCAGCAGTTCGGCTAATGGCTACACTATAGGAAGTGTGAGGAGTGCAGGGATTGTGGGCATGAACCACCAGGAAGACGTGCTGAAAGTGAGAGCGAATAGTTTTGGGGGTGAAAGGATGGGCTCCAGGTTCTTGAAAAACAATGGTCACAATATCATTGCCAATGTGCCTCTTTCGGAGAAGCTTAAAAAAAACAAAAACAAGAAATGTTATTAGAAGTAAAGAACTTACACAACATCATAATTTAACTGTAAGAGAAATCATCATGCACTGTCAGCTTGATGGACGTCAGCTTTTTTTCCGTTTATTTTATTACGCAACTATGTTGTTTTGTAATAATTACATTTTGTAAACAAAACTGATTTGTGGTTTTACAACAGGATTAGCACTGTATCTTAAATGATACAAATCAAATATACGTAATAAACAAAGATTAACAAATTAAATTAAGGAAGATAACATACATAAAGTGTGTTATTAAAAAAAGAGTGCTTTTAAACGGGATTAAGGAAACAAAATAATATATGGTGTAAACATAATTAATAAAAAGCCGGTAAAAATTACGCAGTTGTACTGTTTTGTTAAGGTACTTTATAGGGAGCCTCTGTATAAGGGTGCCTATGAGTGCTGTTACCTGCTGACTGTTGCTTGCTGTGTACGGAAGCATTGTCGAAACATGGAACATAATCTCATAGTCTTGATATCGGGTGTAAAGTGAGTGTGTACCCGTGCTATCAGCTGTGGAGAAGGAAGAAAATATTTTGTATGCATTTTATTCTCTGTGTTTCATTATGAAATGTTCAAACCTCTGCACACACATTCAAGATGTGCCATACCATAGAGTCAACTGTAAGTGCAAAAAATAAAACAAATTCTACAGATAAATAACTAATAAAACAGATTCATATTATCATTCTAAATATTTAGAATAGGCTGTGGCATGGCAGATTTTGATTTTATCAGCAAGTTTAAGGGAAATTAATTATTTTCAATAGAAGTGACCTACAATTTAAAATGATTCTTACTTTTGTTATCCAGCTGTGCCCGGTACTTGTCAAATCCCTTGAGTCTGACTTCATCCCCCAAAAGACTTAAAAACTCTTTGAAAGCTGGTCCAGCTGTCTCGTTGTTATACATCTCCTCCTCAGAGCTCTGCCCAGCTCGACAGTACAAGATACCTATTTTTCTCTGAAAGTTGAGCTACAACCAAAAAGAGACACAATTCAAAGAGCTTAGAACTCAAACATATAGACAAGGTGATGTGTGTACAATAATATATAGAAGAGTAGACGTTTTCACCTTGAATAGCAATTTTCCCATATACTTCAAAAGAGGAATTGCTATTCAGTAAGCACAGTAGATCTTCACTCTGCTAGGTGAATCCAGCCCTTTGTGCGTTTGTCCATCTATCTTATTAAAGCTCACTTTTCTCTAGGCTGTGTGATATGGCCTTTCCTGGTGTGCATTGTACATATCTAACCACTGTGTCTGTTGTTTCTTTTTCTGGACTTATTCCATATTTACTTCCTCTTTTAGACAAAGCTATGGTTGCTGCTTCCTCCCTAGCTATTTTCTATCTATTATTCACAAGCGGACATTGTTTTAGTTTATAGGAAATACAACATACTACATTGATAAAGCCTGAAAGGAGCTATTTTACTTATTGTTAAATTATTATATTCAGGTTTTGGTTTGTCCAATTATATAATCAATGAGATACACCATGTATGACAGTCTGTGTATACAAGAACACCCCAAGCACAATAGCCTCTACTTAACGTATATTAAGCTATACTATGATATTTTATTAACAATTAAAACCGCTAATGGGGAAGCATTGTGATTGGATCAGGTCACCACCTCTAATGATGTCAGCAGACTGCTTGTTTTTCTGAGTCTAACAACATGCAGAGTTAGAGCTTCAGGCTTCAATACAGTAAGATTTTTACTATATTTATGGAGGCATGAGGGGTCCAGGGGGGCTAGATGGTGGTGTCAACACTATAGGGTCAGGAATACATGTTTGTGTTCCTGACCCTAGTTATTCTTTAACTAGTCTACTAGAAGTATATTACATTCTAGACTTTGTTGTCTACTTCTTAAAAAACAAACAAAAAAAAACACATTATATCTGAAGCAACATCATGACACAAGCTTGCAATATTCCACCTCTGCTCACAGTCAGCCCACTGGAAATCTCTGCTTTTCGGTTCATTCCCATCCTCTTTCTCTTAAGAAACCCCATTTGACCCTAACTCTCCTGCAAACTACCACCCAATATCTCTGCTTCCACTAACATCAAAAACTCCTGGAAAAACTAGTCTACAACCGCTTAACCCACTTCTTGTACTCCAGTTCCCTGCTTGACCCTTACAATCTGGTTTCTTCCCACATCATTCAACTGAGACTGCCCCCACCAAGCTTATTATATACCTTATTTATGATAAAAGTAACGGCCACTGAGGCGGAGCTAAGCACCTGAAGCAAACGGTCGCACGGCCACAGAGCTCCAGAACAAACAACTAAAACGCGACATTTTCGGCACCAAAACCCACATAAAAACGCACCCAGGGATCACACAGAGAACCAGGAGAGTCAGATGGGGCGGAAAACCAAGAAAGCAAAGTCCGACAGGCCCCGCCAGGGAATGGACATTGGGGAACTATGGCGGCAGGCACACGAGGCAGGAGGCGTCAAGATGGAGTCCTTGCATGGCGGATGCTCGGACTTCACGGAGGGGTCGTCGGACGAAGATGGGGAAGACTCCATGCTGACCCCCTCACAGCCAAGGGGACCACCAAACACAAAGGCCCCCACCCCAGTGACCATGGAAGCAATCGGAGATCTAATGGCGGCTCACCATAAGAAGATCTCAGCCGACGTGGCCCTAATCAGGGATGACATCAAAGGCTGAGAAAGGTGGAGGCCTCCTCTGACAGCCACACCAACCAGATCATGGATCTGCAGGCAGCAATCAAAGATCTACAACAAAAAACCCTGCAGCAAGAAACCCTAATGACCGCCCAAGAAGACAGGTACCGCCGAAATAATCTCAAGCTAAGAGGTGTCACGGACTCCATACCGGAGGCTGAACTACTGCATCTTATCAGGCGACTGCTCACAGAACTACTGACACCAAAGGTGGCAAAAGTGATCACCCTGGAAGACCTGTTTCGGTTACCATGGCCAGCAAAGGCCCCTCAAACTGTCACAGGGGACTTAATACTAAAATTCCAATCAGCCAGAGAAAAGAAGATGGTCCTAGAGGCTACAAAGGGACAGTCTTCTTACCCCTTTGAGGGGATGACCCTCTCCTTTTATACGGACCTTTCAGCTGGAACACTGGCGTGGCGGAGATCTCTGAGCACATTTACCGCCCTCCTGCGTCTCCATCAAATACAATACCGCTGGGGCCCGAACCGCACCCTCAACATCAGCAAAGGAGAAACCAAACACGCTGTCCACAATCCCCAGGAAGCCGCAGAGATAATAAGGCTACTGAACATCCCTACTGACTTGCAGAATCAGGCAACGCACCTCGCAGGCCACACATGCCAGCTGGGGAGGCATATCGTGGATGCCCCGGAGTTTGTGCCCAGGAAGCCGCCTACAGACCCATACGCTACGGCCACCACATGAACTGGGCTGCGAACTTACCACTCACCCAGCGCCAACACAGCCGTTGATAGAAATCAGCTGTTCGCCGAGAGGAGCGGAGCTGGGGTTTTACCGGGTCGGGACTATGGTATCGGCTGATGCCATAGCCATAGACACTGAGCCCAATTGCTGCCTACACGAACACAAGGCTGGCTCCCCGGGGGGGAGAGGGTAATATAATTGTTTAGCAACCTCGCTCCTGACGTTGATACCTCCTAAGGTTATACCATATTTTACCTTTATCACCATTATAATCTAGGAACTGCTAATCTAGTTCAAGCTCCAACCTAGCATAGTATGCTGCACATCTTGTTAATATTAATATTAATATATTTTGCCTTACTGCTTAGCTCTACATGCACTCTATTGTGCCAGCATAACAATAGCCAGGCTCATTCACCCACACCCATTGAACCGACTACCAGACAGGGTACACACCACTCAGAACCTAAGAGGACACTAACACACACACGGCAGACCACACATACTCAGAGCACACGTTGAACTTAGGGTCTGAATGTACTCATGATTTTGTTTAACCCATTGCCTGCTAATTCAGCATGTTTAAGTTTGTACCAAAAGTTAAAGCCAGAGCGCACGTTGAATTTATTGTTTGAATGTACTGTCATGATTTTATGTAACTCAAAGCCAGCTAATTTAGCATGCTTAAGCTTGTACTCAAAGTTAAAGCCAGAGCACACGTTGAATTAATTGCCTGAATTTAATCTCATGATTTTGCCTAACTCAAAAGCCAGCTCATTTAGCATGCTTAAGATAGTACTCCACGTTAAAGTTACGCTACTGTAACGAAACAGTTTTGTCTTTCATAATAATATTTTAAAATGTGCCGTCACCTCTGAGCCACATATGTGACCCTCTGTGCTATCCATACACTTACTCGTGCTGTTGTGGCATCGTACGATGTTCTGTTACTCCATGCACACTCAAAATAAAGAATTTATTTAAAAAAAAGTAACGGCCACTACTCTATATTTATCTTTCTTGACCTCTCAGCTGTCCTCATATTTGATTATCATCTCCTCCTATAGACTCTCAGCTCAGTTGGTGTATGCAATACTGTTCTCTTTTGGATCTACTATTATCTTTCTAATAAGTTCTTTTCTGTGTCGTTTACTGGCGACTCCTATTCACTGCCTTTGTCACCGCCATCTTTTGGCTTTATCTTGGGTCATCTGCTCATATCAATTTATAATTCCTCATGCTATGGATGTTAAGTTTAGAGCTGACGAGATTCAGATCTATCTCTCTACGCCTGAGCTCTTTCCCTCTGTCGTTTCTCTTGTCAGAGACTGTTTATCTGACAATTCTTAAATAAAAAATCAATAGTTCCAAGAATAAGCTCCTTCTAATTCCCTTGTCTAGCACTAGAAATCTACGCCAATTTCTAACTTGCTATTTCTCATCTCGACTACTGCAATAACCTGCTGTCTCCCACTTTTCCCCCCTTTAGCCCATCCAAATGCTAGACTAACCCACCTTACTAGTTGCCCTTATTTACTGCGCCTCTCTGCAAGTCCCTTCACTGACTCCCTATTCACAGCAGAATTAAATTCAAAATTGTCAGGGTTTACATGAAAGTGCCTAAATGGTTATACTCACCACAACAAATACATTAAGCTGTAGTTGTTCTGGTGACTACAGTGTCCTTTTAAGCAACTTGAGAAAAGGAAAGATTAAGTGGCAGATGAAAGTCAATATTACTAAATGCTGGACATGTGCACCAGTTCAATTTCTGTTTCGTACAAATAAAAATTTCATTCATGAATCCTGAATTTCGGCCGCAAACCATTTGTTAAACTAATTCTCCCCACCTTGCCGTTCTCTTTCTCAACCACACGTAGATCATGCCTTTCCTACCCTTCAGACTTTCTCCCGGCTACTGAACAAGAAGTGTCTGCGCTTCTCCTTTCTTTTCGCCCCTTGCCTGCTCGATCCTGTCCCATCTCACCTTATCAGATCTCTCTCCCCCTGTCTTGTGCCTTCCTTAACAAACATCTTCAACTGCTCTCTCTCTTCTGGCGTTGTCCCTGCTGACCTTAAACATGCCACTGTAGTACCTATTCTGAAAAAACATCTCTAGACCCATCCTCCCCCTCTATCATCCCATATCCCTGCTCCCTTATTCCTCAAAACTTCTGGAAAGAGGTGTCTTTACCCGTATGTCTCACTTTCTCAATTCCAACTCTCTCCTCTCTGATCCTCTTCAATGTGGCTTCCGCCCTCTCCATTCTACTGAGAATGCTCTTATCAAAGTTACTAACGACCTAATCGCAGCTAAATCAAAAGGTCACTACTCCACTAATTCTTTTTGACCTCCCTGCTGCCTTTGACACCGTTGACCATGCTCTCCTTCTTCAAACTCTTCAATCACTCGGTTTCTGTGACTCTATGCTCTTGTGGTTTTCCTCTTATCTCTCCCAACGCTCATTCAGTGTCTCCTTTTGTAATGTTACCTCCTCCCCTCATCCTGTCTCAACTGGAGTCCCCCAAGGCTCTGTCCTTGGTCCCCTTCTATTTTCTCTTTATACTGCCTCTCTTGGCAAACGTATTACCTCATTTGGATTCCACTACCACCCAGATATATCTCTCCTCACCGGACCTCTCTCCTGCCGTCCTACAGCATGTCACTGCTTGCCTTTCTTCCATCTCTGACTGGATGTCCTCCCGCTTTCTGAAACTCAATCTCTCTAAAACTGAGCTCCTTGTCTTTCCTCCTCCTAATACTGATCCTCCTCTTTTGCTCTCCCTTCACGTTGTCTTGGCATCACACTTGATTCCTGTCCTCACCTTTGAGTATGTTGCCAAATTCTTTAGATTCCATCTTAAAAACATAGCCTGCATCCACCCCTTTCTTACGCAAGATGCTACTAAGGAGCTTGTCTATGCACTAGTAATTTCCCGCATGGATTATTGTAACCCTCTCCTAATTGGTCTTCCCAAAAGCCGTGTTGCCCCACTACAGTCTGTAACGAATGCTGCCGCCAGACAGATTTTCCTCTCTAGTCGGTCCTCTCATACCTCACCCCTCTGTCAGTCCTTACATTGGCTTCCTGAATCCTATAAGAGTCCATTTAAAGTGCTAACCCATACCTATAAAGCACTGAACAATTCTAGCCCCTCTTATATATCTACACAGATCCATAGGTATGCCCCTTCTCGGTCTCTCTGCTCTGCCTGTGACCTTCTCCTGTCTGCTGCTTGCACCCATACGGCAAACTCGCGCTTGCAGGACTTCTTGCGGGAGGCTCCCTTCCTATGGAATAGCCTGCCTACCACAATCAGACTCTCCCCTACTCTTCAATCCTTTAAGAAGTGCCTTAAAGCCCATCTCTTTAGGAAAGCTTATGGCCTCCCAGAGTAACTTACATCACATACCTGTCCCTTACTCCCTCCTAAAGGGCAGCACTTTACTCTCTCCTCCAGCTCTGCTTCACTCCCACCTTATTTGATTGTTATTTCCTGTCCTAATGTGTTTTATACCCCACCTCCTATAGACTGTAAGCTCGTTTGAGCAGGGTCCTCTTCAACCTATCGTTCCTGTAAGTTTTCTTGTAATTGTCTTATTTATAGTTAAATCCCCCCTCTCATAATTTTGTAAAGCGCTACGGAAACTGTTGGCTCTATATAAATGGCAATAATAATGTGGCCATCAAGTTCAGCCTTCCTCACATTTGTTTTTTGATGTTGATCCAAAAGAAGGCAAAAAAATCCAGTTTGAAGCACTTCCAATTTTTGCCAATGGATAGGTGCTGGGAGGAATACTAGGTCCCTCCCATTTAAAAATGACCATGGGTGGGAGCAGGGAGACATTATGATGTCCCCCAAATTTTCTCTTATTTACTCACACCTACCTACAGGTAGGGCAGGAGGGTGGACAGTCATTAATTCGCTCACTTTGCCCCAGAAGGTCTGGACCCGGTGGCACTCCCTCCACATGTGTCCGTACGTGCCTTTATGTCCGCATAGTCTCTGCACATGCACAGCTAACTTTCTGTGAAAGGATCTGTGAAGCAGAATCCTATCAGAAGGAACTTATCACCAGGCTTTATTCTACACCACAACAGAATGGGGCGGATTACACTACACAGACCAATGGGAGGCAGAGTTAGGTGTGACTCTGGAAGGCACGGACTGGAAGGACATCTGGGAGGCCAACGGGCGAGCCTCTACATGTGTTATGATGCAAAAACAGTCGTCCAAAACGATGTTCAGGTGTATACCACCCCAGTTAAGCTCTATCACATGCACAAAACACCGACTGACCAATGCTGGAGACTATGCGGACATAGAGGCACATATGGACACATGTAGTGGGAGTGCCCCCAGGTCCAGACCCTCTGGGGCAAAATGAGCGAATTAATGACGAACATCTTTCAAAAACCAGTGACACCTGATCCATGGGTATTTTTACTATCCAGACCGCTCGACTGGTGGCCAAAATCAGAACAAAAACTGATCCATAAAATTACTCTGGCAACCAGAAGAGCAATAGCTCAGTCTTGGCTAAGCACTGAGGTACCTACCATCCATACTGTACTACTGAAACTTTAAGATACCTATTTAATGAACAAGCTGACTGCCCAAGTAAGAGGGACATTAAATCCTTTCACCAAGGTATGGGAGCCATGGGAATCCTTCGCTAACTAGTCAACTTACACTAGAGTGCATGGACGGGGCCGGCGGTGTCGGGGGGGTGGGTGGGTGCACGGGTACCGCCCCGTACCTCCTCTTTGCGGCAAACCTCTTTCTCCCCTCTACCTCATCTTTCTCCTATCTCTTTTGTCTCCTCACCCTAACCACTGTTCTCCTTTCCTATCTCCCTCCTACCATTCTTTCTTTCTCTTCATACTCTTTCTTTCTGGATGGGAATATCTCCAGAACAGAAAATAAAACTACCTGAGGGGTGGATACTCTGGTTACGACACAGCACATCTCAAAAGTGGTGGCTGACTATCCGAACAAACCCAAAAAACACCAATTCACTAGCAAATGGGTATAGAGGCATGCTCTAGCAAACAAATGCTCCACTTATGCTTACTGCTCTTTCATATGTGATTGTGCTGTAATGTCACTACCTTTTGTTGCTTGTACGGACTGTATTGTATACAAAAAACCCTTACTGATACTACTTAAAGGAACACTATAGTCACCTAAATTACTTTAGCTAAATAAAGCAGTTTTAGTGTATAGATCATTCCCTTGCAGTTTCACTGCTCAATTCACTGTCATTTAGGAGTTAAATCACTTTGTTTCTGTTTATGCAGCCCTAGCCACACCTCCCCTAGCTATGACTGACAGAGCCTGTATGAAAAAAACAAAACTGGTTTTACTTTCAAGCAGATGTAATTTACCTTAAATAATTGTATCTCAATCTCTAAATTGAACTTTAATCACTTACAGGAGGCTCTTGCAGGGTCTAGCAAGCTATTAACATAGCAGGGGATAAGAAAATCTTAATTAAACAGAACTTGCAATAAAGAAAGCCTAAATAGGGCTCTCTTTACAGGAAGTGTTTATGGAAGGCTGTGCAAGTCACATGCAGGGAGGTGTGACTAGGGTTCATAAACAAAGGGATTTAACTCCTAAATGGCAGAGGATTGAGCAGTGAGGCTGCAGGGGCATGTTCTATACACCAAAACTGCTTCATTAAGCTAAAGTTGTTCAGGTGACTATAGTGTCCCTTTAACGTTTTATGTTCATGTAATCTATCCACTGTCATTATGTAATGCACTATCTACTACTCAAGTCTAAATAAAAAATGGGGAAAAAGGCCAGTCTTTACCTATAAAGCACTTTATAAAAGTGCTGTAACCTACATATGCTCAAGGTTCATGGAATTCCCTTCCTCAGCCTATTAGACTTTCTCAGATTATTCATAAGAAAAATGCACCTCTTATGATTTATCAACAATTCACTTCTCTCCTCTGGCACATTCTCCTCTTTGTTTTCATTCACCCTTACTGTAGTCAAAAACTGTTTACAAACTACGCTTCATAATACATTTGTCATCCATTTTTACCTGGAACAAAATGTACTCTTGCTTTTATCAGTTGTGTAAATGTACAACATTACTTCTTAGATTGTAAGCTTGATGGATCAGGGTTCAAACTTTGAACTTATTTTTAAGTTGTATAAACCCTATGGAAAATGTTGGAGCTTTATGAGTAATAACAATATTTAGCCCATATTATTTCACAAACACCATGCATCAAACAATAATTCTATAGCATTTTTATATTAGGAAAACTCTTTTCTATCCTGCTTTTTTAGGGGAACCTCATGACAAAAAAATAAACAATCCAAAAAATATATAAAATATGGATATTTCAGATTTGATACTTGAAAAAGTAAACACACGGGATTGTGCTAAAGAAACAAATAATTCCAGAGCTTTATTGCAAGCGTTTTTTGAGAAACGTATTTCCCAGAATACATGTGTCTTCATATCACAAAACAAATATGAGCTAATTAAGGGATAAGTAAAACCCTTTTATGACCAACAGAGCTTTTTAGACATTGCTGGAACAAATGCAAAAAATAAATAAAAAATAGATAAGGAACCCTGAATACTAGTGCGGGCCTCAGCTGGTATCCTGTTTTTGTTCCTTTATAATACATTGATACTTTAACATATGTTTCTGATATCTGTTGCTAGTTCCATTGCTTGCCGAATTATTCTTTTGATTGGCGATCTATTGCTTGAAAGCTCTACTGAATAGGCTGGGGATCTGTTGCACACAGGACTGTTTTTTTTAACCTAGCAGTCTATTACACATAAAGTGCAGGCATAATTTCTAATATCTTTTTTTCATAATCAAATTTGTATAATTTATTTTTTAGATGTTGTAACCCACTTCTGCACTTCTATTAGGTCCATTACGTAATTTTTGAAAACTGGTACCCAAACCTGCACTTTATAGAGAGTGTAATTACCCTGTTTTTTTATTGTGTTTTTGTCAATGCCTTACTAACCACAGAATGACATCGCACACTGCTGCTATGTCTGCTATATTTTTTTTAACGATGAACTTTGATAATTTCATGAACTGGCAACCCCGTCTAACCCTGTGTCATTAGGTATTATCTTGTTTGTTATATTTCATGTAAAGTTTCTAACACAGAGACCCTTTTATACTGTATAGTGCTACAGAAAAAATAAATAACCATTCGACAAGGCAACATTTACTCTGTCAAAATATTAAAGCACACCCTACTAACATCACTACTACCAGCTCCAGTCTAGAACTGCTTACATCATCAGTGAACTAGAGACGTGAATCAATATGGCAAATAGGAGTATCATTCTACTCCATTAAAGCACAATCTGAAATTAACTCTCAGCATATTCACTCAAACTTCAACTGCAGTAGCTTAGAGCACACCTCGCTAGTTTCATTTCCTCTACTACCTGCCAGCCCTGTGCCCTACATACATTATCTAAGCACGTCTTGACCTTATTTACAGTGACCTCCTCCAGTGGCTGCTCAGTAAACAGTAATCTGCTTTCATGTCCATTCCCACATTTGCAGCTGCCTTCTCAGATCTAGTATCTTAAGATTCCAAGCAGGTAACTTGCTCATGATTTCCACAGTGGTATAGGTTCTGGGACACCTCGTCCAGTAAAGCATACATCAGGCAAATTAAATACAGTATGGCATATTTCGGTATGCTGCCACTTATATTATTGTACGGTTACAAACATTCTAAATCTAAATATATTTAGAAATCTGAGGAGGGAGCTTTGAACAATACTGAGGGGTATTGTAGATGAACATTTTTGGTAACCTCATTATATTATGTTCCATTTGGTTAAAATAAAGATCACATCCTTTCAACCACTTAATTTAGTCTTCACTTCTGGTCTGAAAACCTCCAGTCTGACTAACCAAACTATATTCAGTATTACTCAGTAACTTACCCACATCCTCTAGTGCTTTGCAATACATAAACAAAACTATGAAGATGTAGTTCTACTTAAAGAAATGAAGATTAACTTTTAAATATCAACTTAAGCTGGCCACAATAAAAGGCCACTCTAAAATGTGCAGTTTTACTGTATTGGGGGGGGGGAGGGGAGTGAAAACCAGTTTGCCTCACCATTTGCCTCACACAGTGCAACACATCTCCTTCGCATTGAGTTGACCAGGTTGTTGATTGTGGCCTGTGGAATGTTGGTCCACGCCTCTTCAATGGCTGTGCGAAGTTGCTGGATATTGGCAAAACTGCACATTTTAGAGTGGCCTTTTATTGTGGCCAGCCTAAAGCACACCTTTGCAATAATCATGCTGTCTAATCAGCATCTTGATATGCCACATCTGTGAGGTGGATGGATTATCTCAGCAAAGGAGAAGTGCTCACTAACACAGATTTAGACAGATTTGTGAACATTATTTGCGAAAAATAGGCCTTTCGTGTACATAAAAAAAGTCTTGGATCTTTGAGTTCAGCTCATGAAAAATGGGGGCAAAAACAAAAGTGTTGCGTTTATAATTTTTTTCAGTGTACATAAGCTGACAAAACATAAAAACCTTGTGTGAATGTTTGAAGAAAACTGTTTAAAAATCTATTTATTTAAAATGAACATGGATACCAAAATACACGCCAACGAAATAGAATAAAGTCTTACTCACCCCCTGCTCATCTAACTTTAGTAAAGTGTCTGGCACCTTGGGAGAATTGGATGCCAAACGCAGACATTGCAGGCTGACTTCTGGAATAACATATTCCAGCAATTTCTTTGGAGAGATGGCTCTTGAGGAGTTTGTTCGGATTGTTGGCGGGAATGCTTCTTCAAGAATAGATCCACGGAGAGTTTTTAACTTTAAACAGAGAACACACACATTAACAAGAAGCCATAACGAAATGAGATGCAGGAAATTGCAACATGTTGCTTACAGAGTCTCTTTAAAATGAAACCAAGAGGAAATATGGCATGAATATAATTCTGGACAACTTTTATAAGAGAAAAACATATCTTCATCAAAAAGGCCGAAATGTCTAATAATAGTGGATGCAATAAATCAAAAAGGTGTAAGCGCTTGACAAAGAAGGAAACATTGCTTACCTCTGTAGTACGGAAAACTATTCGGTAATTGTACTGAATACTTTGTGGTCCCTCTCTCTCATCACGCCGTAAGCTTATAGCAACAGGTCCCAAACGTTCATCAATCCCAAAAAAGTTCTGATGCTCTGAGAAGGAAAATAAATATAGAGTAAAAATGGATTAAAAAATAAACAAACCTAAAAATTATAAAGGTTAATACAGAAGTTGTCTTTTAGGTGCATTTTGTTGGAAACAGAAAAGCTGGCATGTAAAGATAGGAAGTATAATAGCAAAGTAAGTATTAACTAAAATACAAATACTGTAAAACCTTCCACATGTTTTGGAAGTTAGTCCCAAATCTTAGATATATCTAAACACATGGAAATATTTTAACTCAAATGGATCCCTTGTGAACTTGGATATTTATATTTTTTTTCACTAAAGTGAGAATTTAAAGTGAATTTTGCATTTAAGTTTAAAATAGCTGAACTGGAAAAATTTTGGAAGTCAGCTATGCTTTCAGTTCTGCTACTGAAATACAAACGTGTATTGCTGACACTATAGTTTAGGTTAACGATCCCCCTTATCACCGGTTAAAAAGGTGAGTTAACCCACCTTTTTCCAGCACCATGCGAGTATGTTGTGGCTGGCTTAACCCACGCTCCACCACCTTGGCTGAGATCATCAAACATGATGATCTCAAGTTTGAAGACTTGAATCAATGCATCTCTATGAGGAATGTTTATCGCCTCCATGCAAAGCGTGGAGACGCTGAATGCACCTCTGGTGGCTGTCTGAGTGACTGCCTCTAGAGGTGTTCCTAGGCAGTAATGTAAATTGTGCCTTATTTCTGAAAATGCAGTGTTTACATTGAAGACCCTGCAGGGACATGCAGTAAACACCAAAACAACTACATTAGGCTGTAGTTGTTCCGGTGACTACAGTGTCCCTTTAAATTCCCTTTGAATTCTCACTTTAGTAAATAACCCTGTTAGTATTTTATTAACATTTGTCATTTTGCTATGAGCATTTTCTCTTATATCTATGAGACAAAATTAATATTACAAATGTCCCAACATAAACAAAGCATAGAACAGAAAGAACATATAAAACCAGCCTAAAATGGTTTAAAGAGAAACATTTAAAAAACTGAATATTACTAACCTTTGCCGTAAAAATATTTTCGATAATATAATGCACCCAGATCTTGATACTCCACAAAGTAGCTACTGTCTCTCATTCTTTCCCTAGCTTCTTCCAGCACAGATACAGCTGCATTAGGACCCCTCACAGGAGAGGTGATGTGAGGACTGTGCAAAGTAAAAGAAGTACAGAAATTCCATCCTGGGTCCTTTTGTCCATCAAAGCTCTCTCCAGCTATTTCGTTGCGAAAATAGGGACAGCTGAGGAGAAGCTCATTGTCCTTGCCATCACCTGGATCTCCTGGCTCCTCAGGCGATGACAAAGATCTTCTTGGTGATGAAGTACAAGTTCTAAGCTGCGAGGCTGCTGAAGCTCCGCTCCTAACATTTTTTCGACTTTCAGATTCACCTTTTCGAAAAGGATCAAACAGTATGCTTTGAACATCATGGTGAGCAAAACTCTTGGGTCGTTGGGCTACCGGACATCCTTCAGGGGGCTTTTCTTTAGCCTCTTGGGCCGATGGCCCCTGGCTGATCCCAGCCAGTCCCAGCAACAGGAATGGATCCTTAAAACGTATGGCAGATGGGCTACTGGTTCCTTTTTCCCTGGGATCTGGATCAGATTCTGAAAGAGAACGTCCCCCTCCGTTGTGTTTACTGTTCCCTGTAGCTATTAAAGATTTTGACTCACGAGGACTCTTGTGAGGGGAGGATCGGGTTGGGGGATGGCGCAGTTTACGCACAAAGAGGTCATCGGACTGCATTTCATGAGAAGGCACTCATTGGTAATGTTTAAATTGTTGGCTTTGCCATGTCGCCTGTCTGAAGTCTCCAATTCTGTTCAGTTTTCTTTGGGATATTGTATACACTCTTTTTCGTCCTTTTGTTGTTCAGCTGCTTTACTTTGCTTGCTTGCTTTTATCTGTTTAAGTTGCTGAGTGTATATCTCCTTTACTTCCCTGTCTACTGTATTTCACTGTTCAGCTGTCTGTCACGGCACATGACTAATTTCTTTGTTGTTTTTCATTTCACTGTCGATGCCTCCAATCATTTATTGACAACATATATTTTAAACTTCTCTCTTATTCTTTGATTGGTTGATACTGTATGCGTTCTTGCTAGTTTTTCACTTTTCACAGTTTGCTTGCCTCGCTCAATAGTTCCTCTTGAAATTCTTTTACTTGAACCACTTAATCAATTACATCTTCTGTTGGTTTTTCTTCACCTGATCAGTTTAATTCTAAATTCCTTTGAACCTTGTATGTCATTTTGTGACTCATGGCAGTAATACAAGATTTCAGATACAATCTTTATCTACCCCATTAAGGATAATGCAGTAGTTTTCATAATCTCAACTGATTGACAGAGATCACTCAATGTCTCCTAGTCTGCAAAAAGAAAGAAATTAGGAAAATTATTCATTTCTAATTAAGCTGGACACAGATAGTTTGATAACCCTTTGAAAACAAGTGGGTATATGAATATATCACTTTGCAGTTCCTTGCAGACAGTTATCCTAGTTCCATATTGTAATTAAAAATAAATTGCAAGTCGAAGATTTACTAATTCTCTATATTCTGTAGGTCATGCTTAGGGCAGTAGCTACAGACATACTACTCAGCAAGCCCGTAAGAAAATTGGTTAATGTAGAGGATTGCCAAAAAGGTAGCTCTTAATGTTTTGTAAGCCTTAAAGGGACACTGTAGTCACCAGAACAACTACAGCTTAATGTTGTTTCTTTCTGGTGAGCATAATCATTCCCTTAAGGCATTTTCATGCAAACACCGCCTTTTCAGTGCCTTTAAACTGAGCTGTGTAATAAAATTAGAATAAGTTTGAAATGTTAGTGGTATGAAATTATTTGGTCATCTAATAGTAGAGCTGTGAACTAGTTCAGTGCCAGAGAGGGGAGAAGAATTGGCACTATTGTAAATTAGGAACACTATAGGGTCAGGAAAACAAGCATGTATTCCTGACACTATAGTGGTAAAACCACAATCTAGTCCCCCACCCCTTGACCCAGTCTGCTTCTGCTGGCTCTGCCCCTGATCTGCCTGCTTGGCTGACATCATCAGAAGTGGTGTTCTGAGCCAATCCCAATGCTTTCACATAAGAAAGCTTTGGATTGGCTGAGCTTGTCAAGAAAGCAAATCAGGGGCAGTGCCAGTATAAGCCAAATACAGCCCTGGCCAATCAGTATCTCCTCATAGAGCTGCAATGAATCAATGCATCTCTATGAGGAATGTTCAATGTCTCCATGCAGAGGGTGGAGACACTGAATGGCAGCACTGCCCCAGGAAGCACATATATTAGCCACATAAGGAGTGGCCAGTGGAGATATCCCTAGGCTGTAATGCACAGTGAGGGGAAAAAGTATTTGATCCCCTGCTGATTTTGAACGTTTGCCCACTGACAAATAAATGATCAGTCTATAATTTTAATGGTAGGTGTATTTTAACAGTGAGAGACAGAATAACAACAACAACAAAAAATACAGAAAAACACTTGTCAAAAAAGTTATAAATTGATTTGCATGTCAATTAGTAAACCGGGTCCCTGTTCAGCAGTAATGTTTACCGGTGCTATAACCATAGCACCGGGAGAAACGTTCCGCGGCACCCCTGTGTGCCTGTCCCGGCGCCCCAGGGCGACGCAGCACACAGTTTGGGAACCGCTGTTCTAAACAAATGTAGGTAGGTATCTAAGTATACAAAAATAAGTCCTGCGCTCAAACTCCCACTACTCCTGGGCAGCAGCAATGACCATAGCACACATCAGCCCCAATACATCCAATAAAAAACCAGAGAAAAAAAGAGTTAACTGTGCACTAGCCCAAATCCCTAGGTATATTTAAGAGACAGAGAGGGTGATTTTCTAAACCCCTACATACTTATTAGCACTTAAAAGGGAACACATGGGGTGGGTGGCAGCATCGTAACATGGCTGTGTGATACAAAAGTGAATACAAATCCTGGACGGCCATGTGTTTAGGCTTAATAAGTTTGTAGGGCAGAGGTAGGCAACCTTTTAGCAGCACGGTGCCGAAATAGGATTGTGATGTCCGGTAGCGTGCCGGTCCTATTTTCTTAAATTGAGGGGTGTATGTTGCTGTATTCTGCTTGTTACGTATACTGTAGTTACTTTGTATCGTTGTATTTGTGCGTATATGAGCTATTATATTGTATATGTTTGAGTAGTTTGTGGTATTGTGGGGCTGTTTGGGGTTTTGCATGTGAGAGGCTGCATGTGGGGTTGTGTGCATGTATGTGGATTGTCAGTGGTGTTAAGTTTGAACGGATTGTGTGTTGTGTTTGTGTGTGGGCTGTTCGTATTATTTGTATGAGGGGAGGGTAATTCTGTAGCTCTGTGTATATCTAGCTGTGTGGGTGGCCAGGTACAGCTCAAGGACAGGAGCTGCAACAGCAGCTGTGGGCTGCTCTACTCCATTGTGGATTCCCATTCAAAAGTGCTGGAATGAAGTGATCTGAGACAACTTCCTCTACGTGCTGCAATGCATAAATTAAAGATTTCCCTTCACCACCTTTTTGCATTAGCAGATATCTGAAGTTTACCTGGGACTCCTGATAGGCCAGAGCCTGTTTGGCTCTAGCAGCCCTGAGTGCCGTGCATGGCACTAGTGCCGTAGGTTGCCTACCCCTGATGTAGGGGTTTAGAAAAATACCCCTCTGTCTCATTAGAGATTTATTTGCCTGAAGCTGAGGGAAGCAAGGTGAATTGTGTAGGACCCACCTAAGAGGTTTGCTTTGACGTGGCAGGTGGGCTTGTATCTAATGGCCCGAGGGAGTTACTAAATAACCTCCATTTATTCAAATATGCATAGGAATTTGGGCTTGTGCGCAGGTAACTCTTTGTTCTCTGGTTTTTATTGTAGGTATCTAAGTATGTTCTATATTGCCTGTACTAATGGTATTTATAGCATTCATTTAGCATTGCATAATATTAATTGCATCCTTTCCTGGTAGCTTTGCCTCTTTCTGTTTCCTATACATTATTTTAGCTTTATGTATGATGCATACGGCTCAAACAAATGCTTTATGAAAAAATCTAGCATAACAAATAAACATTTGATCGTTTAAACAATAGGAGCTCAGAAAATCGAACAGGAAGGAAACCGGAATTGAGAAAAAAATGTACCTTAAAAAAGAGACAGTTACAGAGCGATTGATTAACGAGACGGCTTGTGTAGGGGACTTTTTCGGCCCGGAGAGAGCGTGAGATATGAAAGCACAGAGGAGGCTGTGGTCCTTGAGTGGTATAGAGGTGAAGAGGAACTGAAATTGTTGCAAAATAAGGAAGCAGCCACATACAGTGTCTGAGTGAAGTCATACCATAACAAGACTTTAAAATAGATACATTTTTCTGTCAGACAGGGAACCAGTGATAAGGGTAATGGGGTCCTTAAGGCTGAGTACAGGTCCCATGATAACATCTAAAATAATGTAACAATAGACCACATCCTACATGGATGTCTGAGCACCCCCATTTCATCTTAGAATATTGTCTAATTGTTTCTCTGGAGTATCTAGCTACACATGTTTCTGTAAATCATTTATTCTCTTCTAAATATCAGACAAATATATCTCAATAAATATGAGTTTAGTCATAAAACTGAACAGAAATGCCGCTTAGCTGTGAAGACTTTCTGTTGCTTACTAGTAAAAACTATGTTCCCCATCCATTTAAATAATTTATTTATTTTCCCCACTTTCTTGGATTCTCCCACCTTTATTGGACTATATGTCCCCTAATTCACTGCTGGTCAAGTGACGAAGAAAAATATGGGAATTGTAGTTAAAACAGATAAAGGGCAAATGTTGCTCATCTCTGCTCTAGAATAAGCAAAGCTATACTGTAAACATATTTTTTGTAAATTTAGCTTGTTATAGTTAATAACACTTTTATATATGCTTGTCACTTTTTGTCATACATACATGCCTTGAGGAACTGATAAAACAGGGAGGCCTAGAAGAGATGTGTCAGCACAGAAAAGCATTTGCTCAGGGTAATGCACTATCTATGGCCTGAATTTTAGTGGATTAAATCCGAATGTCAAAAATTGATGAACGGCAAAAAAAATCTCAATTTTAGCTTGGCTATTTTAACCTAGATTTTGCCATTCAGATTTAGGCCTTGATTTATTATTTTTGAATATGCTTTTCAAATAATCTAATATTTTTGGATAAACTTTTTAAATATTAAAATATCAAATTATTAAATCATTATTAAAGTTTATTTAAAAAATATCAAATTATTTGAATATCTTATCTAAGAATATTAAATGGAGGTCTTATTTTGCTAAAATTCAGTGTAGAGTGAATAATAGTGGTAGAAGAGGAGAGGGAAAGAGATTTTCTTGTACCGTATCTCCACGTGGTGCACCATTTGCAAACAGAGAGGATACAGAAAACAATCAATAAAAGGTAAAGTATTACAACCTTGCACGTTTTACCATTGGATATTACATGCCACAAATGCACGCAATGCAGTACTTATCTTAAAAGAATATGAATATTTCCTCTGTGACAACATATTACAGTCCTCTATAAAATGGCCAAAGATATCACACATATAAATGTTTAGCAGTCTGAAAGGAACAGAACATCCGGCTCATAAAACGAGAGACTACATTTTTATTTCTACTTGCTATTTGTAAAGACCCTATAGGAATATGCAAACTACATAACAGCAGATGTGATTTTAACTCCATTCTGTAATACTTGAAGAATATTTATATGAACATTGCCGAACGAAGTGGCACATACAGGATTTTACGTTCCATGGGAAATGGATCCTTATAGGGTTAAAATGTTTAGTTCCTGTTAAAACCAGAATATTCTACACCCTTTTCCTAGAGGAAGTCCATTACCACTACACTAACTGTAAGAGCTAGAAGCTTTATCGATGAGCAGCTCTTAGCTTGAGGCGAAATCCTCCCTGGGACCAAGCCAATGGTACAAGGTCCGCTATAAAATGACACAGAGTTAACTCACATGCAGTAGACTGGGTAGATTAAATAACAGTGCAGGCACTTTATTAGCAGCCTTCTCTATAAGACGAGCGAAATAAGATAAGCCTCAGGGGAAATCAGTTTCACGACAAATCTAGCAAATAACAAAGAGTCCTACCGTGGTTCAGGCATCGTAAGCATGAGACGCCTATAAATAGATATTAATGTCTTGCACAATAGATGTGATTTTCTACTGCATTTTGTGTTGTAAATATATATCATGCATTAAAATATGATTTTCACCATAGACTCAAATTATAGGTTCAGTTGAAGTTGCAATATCCAAAAATGTCAAAACACAACCATGCACCAGTTTCACATTGCTTCAGTTAAAGGGTTACTCCAAGTACCATGAGCACTTTGGTGATTTAAAGTGGTCATGGTGCCTGGAGTTTGTATGACGCTGCTCATACTGAGTTTAATTTCTGCTGCTGAAGGTGTAACTCCACTGTGCAGCATCATTGAAGTGCCATTAGCCAGCCCATAACAAGAATTTCAGGCTGGTTAATGTCAATTCTGTGCATATTTTAATGCACACAGTTGCACTTATTGGCTGATAGTGGTCAGCAGACGCACCCAGCCGATAGATGGCTGGTGGTAGTAGAAGCTGTATGCATGCCACTGGACATAGAGGACCTCAGCACTTGGAGGCGACCCAGGTAAGAAGAGAAACTGTTGCAAAAATATATGACCCATTACCGGAAAACAGGGCCAGGGTACATCTGGCATCATATGCACTACCGAATGCAGATCATAATCCAGCTCAATGCAGGCAATGCCAAGGCAAATGTTGCTAATGATTAAGAAAAACAAAAACATTTTTAATTTCTTCTCTCCCTGTTTTATCTCTGCTAACTGACTATAGCAAAGGACAGAGCTTATCACAATGATTGACATAATACTAATATGGAGGAGCCCAGTTGCAGGATAAAGAGATATGGAAATTAATTTTTAATTTTATTTTTCCAACCTCACAAAAATGTTTTTGTTAAACATAAAGGGAAGTGAACATAATATTGGAACTTAAAGAAGAAGATTACATACTTTGACACTTTTGAAGGCAATCAAAGATCTACTTGTTAGAAATAAGCTATAGTTTTTTGCAATTTCCTTTAGTCATTCTACACAAAGGAGAAGCATTTTCTGTTGCTGTTATGAATTAAAAGGATACTATAGCCATCAGAACCACTACAGCTTAATGTAGTGCTTTTGGGGTCTATAGGCTGTCCCTGCAGCTTTAGCACTGTAAACACTACATTTGCTGGCTAGTTACACCTTGAGTATCAGTCACTTAGATGGCCACTACAGGTGCTTCCTGTGTCAGTGCTACAGAGGCACAGAACGTTCCCCATAGAGGACGTATTGATTCAATGCATCTCTATGAGGAGATGCTGATTGGCACATTGCAATGTTTTGCTGCACATGCACAATAACCTCCCAATGCAATCCTACAGGAAAGCATTGGATTGGCGGGACCAGCCGTGGCGAGACCTGTGCGAGGTGGGAAACAAGGTAAGTAAACTCACCTTTCTCATGCGATCTGAAGGGGGCCGAGGAACCAAATAGTTTGAAACTATAGTGTCAGGAACACGTTTGTATAGTGTTCTTTTGACAAAAAGCAACATGTTCTTTATTGCTTGTCACGCTATCTGATTATTTTCTATGCACAGGTTAAACACTAGTGTTTTGAGCTATGTAAATTGCATGTCAAAAGAAAAGCATAAAAGGGAACTGTCACTTTTCTAGAAATTACACCATGGAATAAAACATTGCAAGTCACCTATAACTTGTGTTAGCCGTTCTGCATGTGATGCTCTTTTTTTCTATTTTTTTTTTTTAATGTATATTAAACATTTACCAATTGACATCACAATCCAGGCACAGCCAGGAACATTACGTTGGAGGAAGAGAAATAAAACATTTTTCTGTTTTTCCTTTTGTCTTTATAATTGTTCTCTGCTGACTGATGGCTACAAAAGGCAGAGCTTATTTCAAACAATGCTTTGTGGGGAGACAATATGTTCCAGAATGGAGTAGAATAGACTCGCAAACATATTTGTTAAATATGGGTAATATGTATACATGACACTGAAAACCTAGTGACGTGACAGTTCCCTTTTAAACAGATTTATGGCAGTTTTAAAAAGCCACTTATTTTAGAAGAGCACGTCCTATTGATACCAGAATTGCAACATAATTTCCAATGTTAAGAATGTAGGCATTGCCTAATTATAAAATTATAATGATGATGTATTTCTAATATGCCCACAGTCATGTTAAATGTGTTTTGAATACAAAATGGGAAAATATCAGGTGCATCTGGAAACAGTTAATAAACATGATGAATAATTAATGAAAGTGAACATTTAGCCCCCTTTATGAAGCACTGCTCCTTATGTCTTGTAGCTTAACCAAAAACTAACTAAAGTGGTTTTAAAGTGCATCTGTCACTTGGGATGTAATAGCACATTATAGTATCTAACTGCCAGGGTTATTTACTAAAGTGTGAACTGACATTAATGTATAACACATTTCAAATTGCAGGAAAAAAAAATATCACTGAATTAGCAGCATTCTCCATTACAGTTATTTTTTGAGGTCAGCTATATTAAATTTGAAATTCACAGTGAATTCATTTTTTTTCAATACACACTTTAGCAAATAACCCTGTAAACATCATCTAGTGTGCTCCCCCCTAATAAATACACCTCTACTATCTGTAGGAAACACAAGACTGTTGTGAAATTACCTTGCATTCAATGCAGACTAATTCGGCTGAATTTTTTAGATTTTTGCATGTGAAGCAACATGGGAAATGTATAAACGTCAAAACAGAATTATAAAAAAATTAAATAAAAATCATGTTAAAGTATACCAGTTATACAAAGGGGTTTATTAAGTAATAGTGAGTGGTACATTGACAAGCAACATTTCTGCGAAGCCAGCCCAGGTGCAAAGAAAAACTCAACTTTCAGCAAAATAAGCGCTTTTGTTTCCCTACGCTTTGTTATGTTCATCCTTATTTGGCAAGCAGGTTCCTCATTCAGTACAACTCACTGATGTCACATCAAGACCCATAAATCTACACTTTGTGTTAGAAGCGCTAGCAGACATTTAATTCACATTTTCCCATATCAACTTATGTCATGCTTCCTTAGGGCATAGACATTACAGAAAGCTGTACAACTAACAGAACAAAACAAGTGCACGTAATTTCACACACAAGCACAAGTGCTATATGTAAACACATAAGGTTAGCACTAGAGTGAATAGAAGATTTTGTGTGCTTATAGCATTTGTAAGAGGGTGCAATCTAGACAGACCTTTATCAGCAGGCCTGTAAAAAATAGGGACAGTAATTTTGCTTTGAAAACAATAACCTGAACTGTTATTTTTTTCCTTTCATATGAGATAGCAAAGCTAATGAATGCACTTTTGTTTGACGTCACTGCTAGGCTGTGTTCACTTTTGTACAAAATTTGCATGGTGTTCACAGGAAGTTTCTGAAGCAGAAGGGTGAGAAGTAAAAATAACATTGATAATATTTCATCACTTACACAAAATGACGACAGTTATAATACATATTGATTTTTTGTGGTCTACCTAAAAATGATAACCTTTGAGGTGCTTTTGTCATGCTGATGTCCACATTGAATACACTTATGCAGATGTGTTTTAAAAATGAAATGTTTGTTAAACACAGTTTGTCTGGTAATTTTATATGGTAAACAAAATTTCTTGTTTCATAGGACTTTTCAGTTATCCTTATGTTGCATATACTTCAATTCAGTTCAGATTCAATTCAGATATACTTGGCTGTAAAAAGTAATAAAAAGGATTGCCTCTTTAAACAAGTGTGAAGGGAATTTTATTTTGAATTATTTATTGGCTATAATGATATAAAACGTTATGGGCATCTAGCACCCTCTCTGAGAAATTTTCATTAAATGCTGTGAATGCTTACTTTCAGATTGTGAAATGAACACTCATAATTAAAAGTTCATATTTTTATTTATTTAGAATGTTCCTATGATAAATTAGATTATGAGTCCCCTTTGTGTGAAAAAAGTTTGCAAAAAAAAAAAGTAAATTTCCGGTAATCCAGTGCCGAGTCAGCTTCCTCACTGCAACCCACTCTCTCGTCAGACTAACAGTTCTGATGATCAGATGCTTCTCAAAGGGAAATTCTGATGATTAACAGAGCACACTGTGCAAATCCGGTGGTTCTTATAAGAACCTTTGAATCATTAGCAGTGTCCATCATCTTCGCATTGTGATATAATAATAATTAAAAAAAAATCCTAGCAGAAAAAAGTCTTTTTTGGAGATAAGAACCTTTTGAAAGTAGTGCTTTTTTGGAGGTCAGTCTGTTATCCTCCTTAGTGTTCAAGTAGACAAAACTTTAGTGCAGATGAGGAATTCTGTTGGTGTAATGAGAGAGCTTCTATTCAGCTCTTAGAGAGGGCTCTGAGCGGTACAATCCCTGCTCAAGGATATATCTGGAGCTGTCCTCTTTTGATGTTCACAATGTAACTGCAATGTAAACGGCATATGAAAGGAATAAAACGAGATATAGTGTTCACTGTTTCAAACAATAGTACTTTTTAAAAAATATATAAAATCTACTCACAATTTCAAGAGCACCTTTCGCTCAAAAATATCAGCTTGGGTGGTATGATCACTTGAGAAAGCCTATGGGTAAAACGAGTTGTGATTATATAGAAGGACTTTTTTACCTGCTTTTATTTTGATAATCTGAGAAAGCCTATGTGTGAAACGCGTTGTGATTATATAGAAGGACTTTTTTTTTATCTGTTTTTATTTTGTGTGGTATATTACAGTAAACATTGTTTTTACCCTCAAAATGTTATGTTTATTTTTTATTCTGCATTTTATTTTTTAATCTAAAAGAACCTCCACATCTACCTACATATAACCTTGGTGGAGATCATACCACCCAAGCTGATATCATTGAGCAAAATGTGCTCTTGAAATTGAGAGTAGATTTTATATATTTTTAAAAAAGTAATATGGCTTGAAACAGTTAGCACTATATCTCGTTTTATTCCTTTCATATGCTGTTTACACTGTGAACATCAAAAGAGGACAGCTCCAGATTTATCCTTGAGCGGGAATTGTACCGATCACAGTCTAAGAGCTGAATAGAAGTTCTATCCTTACACCAACAACAGAATTCCTCATCTGCACTAAAGTTGTGTCTATTCTAACACTAAGGAGGATAACAGACTGACCTCCAAAAAAGAACTACCTTCAAAAGATTCTTATCTGCAAAAAAAACGTTTTCTGCTGGGACTCTTTATTATTGTCATATCTCAATATTTGTATATATAATATTGTGTGTGTGTATATATATATATATATATATCAGTATAATATTATCTAGCATTTATTATTTGGCGCAGTCTGTTTTTTTCTGCATTTTTTTCCTTGTTCCTCTTGGGTTATTAGGGTATCAAAGTTACAGACCTTATTCTGCTGCCTTTGGAGTTAGCGCTTTTTATTCCTGTTTTATCTTCACATTGTGCCTGATAACACTAAACATGAAGATGAAAAACGTGAATGTCTTCAAGGATTACTAAAGCCACTGGTTTAGATGCAGTGGTCCTGTCATTTTATCCTTGCAATGAAAGACATTGCAGTTTAAGAAACTGCAATGTTTACATTGCAGGGTTAAACACATCTCTTGTGGATGTCTCCCAGAAAAACGTGTTCATGTGATGTTGTAGCTTATTAGCACTTTGAATGCTTTCCTAAGAGAAGAATTGGATGAGCGCATGGTGCTAGTTGCGCACGTGCATCAGGTCCCCGAGATAGATTGGACCATTGCCGGTGGAAACCATGCCATTACAGGCACCCAGCCCACTTTGTCTCAATGAAGTGGTTTGGGTGCAGTGGCCCTCTAGTTTTAGTCCTTTACTCTAAAACATTACATTACATTGCAGAACTAAAAAACACTTCTAGTAGTGGAATTACCATCTGGTGCTGGGGCGTCCAATATGCTTCCCGCCAGACATTGGGGTGTGGCCTTCGAAAGATCTGCAGTGGTTACCGCTTCTCCAACCACACGTGCAAAAGTTCTGTTTGAGCGGCAAGAGGATAGGGCACAGCACAGCGCTCCCCTCCAGCCAATCAGTCATTGTAGCATGGATGAGCAGCGAACCGTGGTAGAAATCTTCTGAATCCTCTACCCAGTATGACAGTGAGTCCTCACAGAGCTTCCTATCAGACCAGGGAGAGGAAATAGAAGTTCCTCTACCGCTGCTCGTCTACAGTAAAGGTGAGCTGGTGGCCAGCAAAAGAGACAGAGAGGGGATTTGGGGTTTGGGGGGGGCAAGGCAAAGACACACGGGGGGAGAAAGATCACATAGGGGCTGGGGAAAGGGCAAAAGAGACAGACAGTGGCTATGGAAGGGGCAAAAAAGATAGACAGGGACTGGGGTGAGACACCCAGAGGGCCTGGGACACACACACGAAGAGGCTGAGAGAATAAAGAGACAAGGTGCTGGGGGGAAGAGACAAAAAGGGGTTCAGAAGGTAGAAAAAGACACGCACACAATGGGCTTCTGGGAGACAGAGATACACAGAGGTGCTGGGGAGACAAAGAGAAACAGATTGGGCTGGGAGGAGAAAGAAAAAAGGTGCTAGGGGAAGAGACATACAGAGGGTCTGGAGGAAGAAAGGGACATAGAGGGGATGAGAAAGGGATACACAAAAGGAGCTGGGGAAGAAGAAGCACACAGTGGATGGGAAATAAGAGTCTGGGAGAAGGGGAGGAGACACACAGAGAGGCTGGAGAAGGGACAAAAGATACACACAAATATGCTGGGGGAGAAAGATACACACAAAGGGGCTGAGTGAAGTAAGAGACACACAACAGAGCTCGGATAGAAAGAGACACACAAATGGGCTGTGGGGAGTGAGAGACACAGAAAGGGTTTTAAGAGACGCATAAAGGGAAAAAAATGGGGGATTAGATATACTAAAAGATGTAAGACATTCAAAGGAGCGGTAAAAGCGGGTAAGAAATTCAAGAGGGAAGATTAAGGGACACATGGGGAGGACGGGGAAGAAAATGCATCTTCGCCTTTGTAGCAAACATTCCTTGCATTGGCCCTGCACGTGTAAGTTAAACTTGAAGCAGCATCGTGGACACAGAGCACCGCAGATAGTGAAGCGCACATAATCCCTTCTCTACACTGTGCATGAAGTCAGAAGGAAGGAAGACAGAAGTGCACCAAGCTTAAGCCAGTATTGACTTGTATTACACAGCTAAAAGGCCAAATTTTCTCTCAGCAAAAAATTAGTATGGCCCATGCACACAAACATTTCTGACGAAGTGGCCCACTGCAGAAAAAACTTAGACACCCCTGGTCTAGTGACTGTGAGGAAGACAGCTACTAGAAGTGTTTGTCTTCCTGGCAGTCCCTAGACGGTAATTCCGCTGTTATAACCATGAGTCAGACTCATTACTTCAATCAATGCTTCTCATACTACTTACCACACATGTGCTTATCATCCATAATGCATCTCTATGAGAACCATAGGATTGGATGAGAAGGTGTCAGAATGCTTTCTGACTAAGACCGAGACAGACAGGGGCTTTTAACAACAGTGTCTTGGTCCTGGAAACAAGGTGAGTAAAATATATTAAACTTGTATTTTTTATAGGTGGACTATAGGTTAGTTAAATAAATGTGGTACTTATCACGGCTTGTACAAAGTCTATAAGTGTAAAGAGTATGAATGATTTTGCTTATGATTTTGTCCTACCAGATAAAATTCTAATTAATGGAGTGTATCCACTAAACACCAAAGTGTGGTAAACTGAAAACTGAATTGCAAAATTAGGCCAAACATAGCTTATTTGTAAATTTCTAATATTAGATGGATCCTACAGTAGGAAGAATGTCAAGGAATAAACATGTCTAGTTCTCAAGCTGCTATGAAAAAATGGCAATAAAAATATTTAAAGAAATTAAAATGAATGTTTTATAAAATATTTATAAATGTAAAGCTTGTATTAGGGACAAATTGTGCCATGAAAGAGTTCTGGAAACAAGTGATTTTTGATGGCCCCAGAATCTCTCAATGGCATTATTTTCACATCATATACAGCCCATCATTATGTATCCTCTGTGTAATTGATGAGTATGTAAACATAACTACGTATAGCACTGTTTATGTTTATAACGTTTGTCTTGTTAAAATGCCAAGGGTGTGAACTAGCTCATTGATTGACTGGCTGAGCAGCGAGCATCAGTGGCTCCCACGTCAGTGGGTTCATTAAGGGAGAACTGCATGGAGAAAAGGGACCACTTTTCTGCTGCCTCTGGCCTGCTTCAGACATGGCATTAAACAATATCAATAAACTGGAAGATCTTATTACCATGTAATGTAAGAACAAAAATAGCTTTCTTGAAGTCACAATAAATAAATCACAGGAATTACATAATTCCTATGAATTATGCTGAAAATAACCCAGGGGCTGTTACAAGCTTAGTACACCAACATTTTGCGTCCAGGTGTTAACGCAGAGAAGGATTATTCAATACCTGCTAACATTTAAGAAAAAAAGATTTAATGAGCAATATGCGCTATTTTGAGTATCGGTAAAATATAAGGGAAGTGAAGGTACTTGCACTATTAGAGTGTGCAATGTTGTAGTTATATATTCGTATACAGTTTGGCCAAATCAAGCAATTAAAACTTGAGTTTTTATTGTTTACACACTTGGTGCAACTTTTATTCCATTAGATAAAATTTAACGCCAGGACTAAAACCCTTGACATGAAAGAGTTAACAAGGATGAGAAAATTATAGCATTATATAATTATGTTTCACACGCAGCTTCATAATTGTGTTGTAAGGCTTTTAAAATGTATGTGTATTAATGGACCCCACAAAAAAGCTTAGTAACTCAACATTTATTTTTTTCATTTGAAAATTGGATTTTACCTTGATGAAATTATATCAGACAACACAGGAAAGCAGACAGTGATGTCTGAATAACAAGCAAGGATTTTCACAGCTGCAGAAGCCATGGGTCAGTTTTGACAGGTTTAGCTCCAAAGCGAGAGTAGCACATCTGGCCACGCAAAAAGCACCAATTCTAAACATTCTTAAATCCGGACCAAGATGATGGATGATCAACATTAAGTCTACGTTTTAATTATTTATTTTTTCACTTCCTAACGGTTGTAGAATATTCCATAAAAAAAATATGTGCAACAAAGCATGTTTTCAAATAAAGCAGATAATAATATGCAGAAATACAAATTATGTATGCTACATTTACATATGGATATGGGCAAAATTCAAAAGCTTGTCTGTATGCAGAAACCAATGAACACAACTACTGAACACAGGGGTGCATCAGTTTTACACTTCATTGTTCTGAAGAACATATGTTCACCTCATAAATAAATGATTATAACAAACCACAGAAAGAGACTGGAAGAGATGAGACAGAAAGAAATATTGAGAGAAAAGGAGGGGGAGAAAGACAGTGGGTGAGCCAAGTTAACAATGGTTAGCATTGAGCAGTGAACAGAGGCCCCACTGTATGAGGAATCCCACTCCTACCCTTAACAGCCTACCTACCCTTCTGCATTACACACTGGCCCAGAATGCACTGAAAGCACAGAACCAGAGAGTAAGTGGAATGAGCTCCCCCACCCAAAATTAACTAGTAACATAATAATGCAAACAAAAAAGGCACAACTTCTATATAATTATATATAGATTCTCACACATAACTTTTTATGTGTGCTTTTGAATTTGTCTTCCTTGTTGGCATTATTATGAGGAGAAATAGACATACAAGGCAGAGAAGGGATTTAGACTACAGGGACCAAGCTGCAATGTAATGAAAGGACCACCAAGACCATAATGCTTTGCACATGAGGAGAGAAATGAATAAGTCTACAGGGGACAGCAAGGCAACTACAGAGCTACAAGGGGGGTCACATGATAAAACTAGTAACATCTGTGTCTCCATTTGCCTATCACACATCTCCTCTCCTTCCCCACTCGCGCTCATGCACCTCATCTCCCCTCCTCTCTCCCCACACATCCTCCTCCCCCTCCCCCGTACAGATCTGTCACTTCCTCTGTCTGTTTCTGCTCTGCATGCCCCTTTTCCTCTGTCATCCGAGCGGAAATCACAGAGACAGGGAGAAAAAAACATATAAAAGATTTAAAAGAATGGCAAATAAAAATGAAAGACAAACGCAGAGTGCACGAGGAAAGAAAAAGAAATTATATAACTTGATAATTATTTGATAGGAGGGGGAAAGAATACTGTGAACGGGCATTCTAAAATTCTGTAAAATGTAACACGTGTGTGACAACCACACTGATTGCCTGTGATAGTGGAATCTCATAGAATTCTACACACACGCCCATTGCTAGACATTAAACTCTCTTATTAAAAAGCAGTGTATGTTATTTATGGTGACATGCTATATATGCCAAGCAGATATGTCCCATACCATTACTAACTGCACAGATCAGATGCTGCATATAGATTCCTGGCAGTGAATTTCGCAGCAGACAGTGCATGCCCACTTACTGGCAATGTATAAACACTGCTGTACAGACATATGTACTGAAGATACAAACAACTGAATACACAGGCATGCTGTATTATACATGCTGCACACATACATTACTCAACCAGAAATAATGCAACATATAAACCCCGTATACCTACTGAGTTATACAGATAAACTAGAACAGGGAACTGTCACTCACCTGTGTAATGTTTCACTGTGATTTTGCTCTAAGTCTTTCCTTTCTTCCTCTCCCTTTATTTTCCCCTCTCCCACAGCTGCAAGCTTGCTGCTCCACTCTCTGTGTCAGTGTCCTCCCATCAGCATCTCCTCCTCTGACCTCTCTTTTCCTCCACCCCCCTTTCATTTCCTCACTCCTTTCCTCCCACCCTCCCCCTGCAGGGTGACACTACAGTGACACAGACAATAGGGAGCTGTGAGTTTTGGCTTTCTCCACGCAGGTTGACATTGTTACAGGCAGTGCTGATACATTCTGTTCTGAGTTTATCCACCCTTCTAAAGGGTTAAGCAGTGACCTCAGGCAGAACACAGCTTTGCATAAAACCAACCTGCCCTTTCATCTCAGATGCTCCCTTTCATTTATAGAGTACTGCAAAGCAAATCCTATTAGGTAAAAATAACCCTTCCACCTCCAGTACCATGGAAATAAAATGCCCAAAGACACTGCTGTATGAAGGTCTTTCATTAGATTAGATTGTACCAAAAGCAATCTTCCCATTTTCAGAGTCTGTGATTCTGGTAAACATAGAGGTGGAATGGAAAGAACTACAGTGCATATCACTTGATAATTAATACTATTCAAGATCCATTGTCTTTAAAATAATATTAGGTTTACTTCTGTTCAATCTACTAGTGCACTAGTGATGTACTGAAGCAGCCAGACATGACATAGTCTATTTCTTCTTTAACATGATGACACAGCCACAATAGAACTATGACTGTTCCTACATCTATTGCTCACGCATACAATGACTTACAGAAGGGGAAAAACTACCCTTATAATATAATCATCCCATAGACATATTTTGGTTTCTCGCCATATAAAAAAAGCAGACATGGATCTCTCCTATACTGTGTGATGCAAAAACCTGCAGATATGTTTCTGTCCCAAAATCTCTAAAGATGAGAAAGGTAAAAAAAAAAACAAACAAAAAAAACGTGCTATGGATTTTTTTCGTTGCAAAGTGTATATAGACATGGTTTACTCCTTCTGTCTGCTCTGTTACCTATGTATTGAGAGATTATATAAAAAAAACTCTTGTCGGGGGTTTTTTAATTTTCATTTATGCAAGCAAATAATCAAAATTTTAAGTATTTTTTACAGATACAATACTGAATGCATTTGTATAAGTCAACTTGCTATCCTATAATCATTTAATTGTACATAGCCCTTTGAGGGATGCTTGGAAGTTATTTAAATGAAATATTTTCTTGTCTTTTTTACGATTACTAAAAATTAAAAATGGAAAGGATTTTTTTAAGTGAGTTATCTTTTGCCCTATTTCACCATCTATGGTACATGGTATGAAAGTGGACTAAGAAGGCTCTATGCATGTGTGTCTTAATCTATGCCACCTACTGGAGTTTCAGAACTTGACGCTGTCCCCTTTGTCACACAGGTTGACAAGGAATGGGAACATTGAAGTTCATTTCTTTGAATGTCCCTGAGGCAAAGACAGATGACAAGTGTAAAACAACATATGATCCTGAATTTTGATACAGTGATACAAACATAAAGCATCCACTAGAGTAGGAATGCTTCTACATAGAGCAGAAGCAAAGTGTAAACAGTTTTTCATCATTTCTGACCAACTGGCTACAAGGTGACACAATTGATACAGCAAAGAATTATTATGTCTTTCCTTGCTGTATGTTAACATAGACAGAGAAAATTTTGAATCTGACAGCAAATGCGTTTGATTCCATTATATCTACCACAACATGGCACAATGACACACAAAAAAGAACAATTTTTGACCCCACCACAGTCATTGACGTACGAAGTGTAAAGTTGTGAGCCCTTTACCTTTCAAAGATAGTTTCAATCTGGTCTCATTACCTCCTTGCGTGTCTCACTCATATGCCCTTGCAGTCTGTGAGTGACCACAGTTTCCTCTGTTTCTGTCTCATTGTCTAAACTTCCTGACACTCTCAGGATGTGACAGTGACAAGCACAGGGGGTGGGCAGCCAGTGAAAAACAGAGAGTAAAACGAAGAGAAGCGACAAAGAAAAAGTGAGTGTGAGATTGAAATATTTATACTGTATTTCTCCAACTGGACCCCAACATGCAGCTGCATTTTAAATCACTTTGTGATAAAAATGACCCCGTAATCTCCACTTTTTACATCATGTCCTCACCTCCCATGTTAAACAAACTGCTGACTTCCTAACTGGTGTCACACTATGTTCTATTGCTTTAATGTGCAGCAGAAAAAAAAGAATGGTTCAGATTAGATGAGTCAATTGGTTTTATCTAATGTCAAACTTGTAAAACTTGTAATTGTAAATGTAAAATCCAATGTAAATGTGACAGACATCTTGCATTTTAAAGTGTAGAGGCGACTGACACAGATATTTTCTAACACACTTGAGATTGTATAAAAAAAATGATCGTATAAAAATAAGTGTTTTGCGACGTCTTATTAAAATGTGAATAATACCATTAAATCTTTATTTTTGGGAAGAAAGAATTGTATCTGCCGAGGATACTATTGTCACATTATGTCTGTCACTATTGTCCCTTAGAGTATAATTTTATGGCCACCCCCAACATTTCAGATGTGATACCTTCTCTATGGTAACATCTGTCACTAATCTCTTCATTTTAAAACTTTTAGTAATAATTTTGCCCAGTGAATTTTAGTTTTGATCTATGGCCTACACCTTTTCTCATTATTACAATTGCCACATGTCATATACTACAATGCTTGTCTGTTCACCAGTCAGGTGCCCCTTCATAGATCTTGATGATAGCCGAATAGTGCATTCCTGAAATTCTATTAGTCTTTAGAGTATTGAACTAAGCTAATTTTCTGTTTCTGTCAGTCACTTCTACACATTCACCTTGCAAATTATTTAACTTTAAGTGTTTCTGATATCATGACCTCTGCACTTTTCCTGAATTGCATTAGCCTCTTTACATTCACTCTGTTTTTCCTTTTTTGAAGGAGTCTGACCACTCTCAGGAGCTGTACCACGTTTTTCACTCACTGTATAAATATACTATTTTCCCTTTTACTGTCTAAGCTACACTCTGCAAGTTAGGGTTATGTATCTCCTAACAGCTAGTCAAAGTATGGCTGACTCTTGACCAGACAATGTTTTACGTGAATACCTAGGGTGCTATTATTTCTTCAAGTGAGGATTTCTTTATTCACTCATTCTCTTCTACCCATGAGGGGTCATGTTGTTTGACCAGTACCAAAGATCTAGCATCTGAGCCACAGAGCCAGGAATGTTCTTGGCCCATACCATATCCAATGTACTAATTAATGGAGGGACCCATGATTCGAATGGAAGTTCATCACAGTGGATTCATAACTTATATGGATAATCCCCATAGACACTAAGCGGCAGCAGCTATGAAATACATATTACAAAGGAAATGCTTCCATAGTGAGAAGCCAGAGATAATTCATTGAAGTAAGGGTGAAATCTACAGGATTGATTATTGTAAGATTTTGATGGAAGAAACAAATTGATATTAAGCATATACTAGGAGTTGACATTGATCAATGGAGTGCTTAGACATCAACATGAGTTAGAATGCTTTCTTAATTTATTTTCTATTTCATTTTTACACAGCATCAGTTTGATAAAGACGTGTCTTAAGCTACATCCAGAGAGGCTTTAAAGGGATATTCTAAGCACCATAACCTTTACAGCTTATTGTTGTGTTTATGGAGCAGGGGGTATTTGGGCACAAAAAACTATCGTCCAAATTCGAACAACGAAAAAAGCAGTGGTAATTATTCTCAAAAAAATACTTAATGGTTTTGAGCCCATATATGCCACTGTAGGATCAAAGTTAGTCTCGCTGTATTCATTAAAGGGACACTATAGTTACCAGAACAACTACAGCTTAATGTAGTTATTCTGGTGAGTATAATAGTTCCCTTCAAGCTTTTTTCATGCAAACACTGCCTTTTCAGAGAAAAGGCAGTGTTTACATTGCCTCTAGGGACACCTCCAAGTGGCCACTCCTTAGATGGCTCAGGGCCCTGTCATTGAGCGTGCCCACGCTCTGTATGGAGATGCAGAATTTTCCTCATAGACAGTGGCGTACATACCAGGGTCGCAGGAGCCACCACCCCAGGGCCCCCCGAGGCTGGCCCTGCTAACCCGGGCGGGTGGGTGGCCGGTAGGGCGGGCAGGCGGGCGCGCGAGGGAGCACTCAGTGCTTCCTCTTCAGCTCCCTCGCGCACCGCACGGATACCGGAGCCGGAAGATGACGTCATCCTCCGGCGCCGGCATCCCTACGCGGCGCGCGAGGGAGCTGAAGAGGAAGCACTGAGTGCTCCCTCGCGCGCCCGCCTGCCCGCCCTACCGGCCACCCGCCTTCCGGGTGTCAGCAGGACCACTGGACCCCAGGGAATCCCCCCAGCACTCCAAAAGGTAAGGAGGCTGGGGGGATTAAATAAAAAAAAGTGTGAGTGTTAGTGTTAGAGTGAGTGTGAGTGTTAGAGTGTGTGTGAGTGTGTGTTAGTGTGAGTGTTAGAGTTAGAGTGAGTGTTAGTGTGTGTGAGTGTTAGTGTGTGTGAGTTTTAGAGTGAGTCTTAGTGTGTGTGAGTTTTAGAGTGAGTGTGAGTGTTAGTGTGTGTGAGTTGTAGAGTGAGTGTGAGTGTGTGTGTCTGCTAGTGAGTGTCAGTGAGTGTGTTACTGTGTGTGTCTTACTGAGTGTGTGTGTGTGTGTGTTAGTCAGTCTGTTTGATGTCTGTTAGTGAGTTTGTGTTTGTCAATGAGAGTGTATGTTTTGTGAGTGTGTATGTATGTCTGGCGCTGACTGTGTCTCTGTCAGTAAATGTGTGTGTCTGTTAGCTAGTGTGTATGCGTCTGTAAGTGAGAGTGTGTGTGTCTTCAGCACTTACCTTTCTCCAGCGCCGGACTCCCTTGGCGCTGGGGATCCCTCAGCCTCTCAGCTCCGAATGCGACCGCGCACGCATTCAAACTGCCCATAGGAAAGCATTGCTCAATGCTTTCCTATGGACATTCAGTGTGCTCCTCTAGCGGCTGTCAGTGAGACAGCCACTAGAGGCTGGATTAACCCTCAGTGAAACATAGCAGTTTCTCTGAAACTGCTATGTTTTCAGCTGCAGGGTTAAAACTAGAGGGACCTGACACCCAGACAACTTCATTGAGCTGATGTGATCTAGGTGTCTGTAGTGGTCCTTTAAGTGTGTGTGCATCTGCATGCACTGGCGTACATACCGCGGTCGCAGGGGTCGCAGCCCTGTAACCCCTGCGACCAGGTGTCCACCGCCATGTGTTGTGGCCCGGCCCGCACGCGCAGGGGGCCCATGGATCAATTTTCGCACCGGGGCCCCATGGGTCATGTGTACGCCACTGCTCATAGAGATGCATTGATTCAATGCATCTCTGTGAGGAGGTCCTGATTGTCCAAAATGGCATTCGGCCCAACCCCTGTGCCGATTTTAGCCAATACAATGCTTTCCCCTATGGGAAAGCATTGTATTGGCTAAAAATCGACCATTTAGATGATGTTACAAAGGGGGCGGAGCCAGAACCAGCGGACCCGTCCGGCGCTGGAAATAAGGTGAGTTTTATACTTTTATAGGGGGGCTAAGGGGGCAAGCCACCTAAATGGTGGGTTTAGCACTATAGTGTCAGTAATACATGTTTGTGTTCCTGACCCTATAGTGATCCTTTAAAAAACAAGATATATACTGTATATAATGTACAGAGACCAAATTATAGCTGTCTTTCCACAAAGCTGTTTTTCTAACTTTACAATTTATATTCTTTGAGTTTTAAATCCATGTTGACATGTTTTTTGTTGTAATTATTTATGAAATATGTTATGCACAAACTCCAGAACAAAAAATACAGCATGGAATTTGCATAAAATAAACACTAAAGAGACTTAACCCAAAGAATAAAAATGAAGTATTTATTGCATTTTTTAGAGCAACAAAAATGGGCATTATGTAGACCAAGCACGTCAAACTCAAAGGCTAGCACGGGCCAAATAAACAAGATTTAAGTTTATGTGGGCCGCAAAAAAAGCCCAAACTTAAATTTTCATAGAAACGTAGGTTTATTTTTAAAAGTACGATATAAAATAAAAAACAGCATCCTCCTCTTCTCAACCCCAGCCTCCTCCTCTACTAAACCCCAGTACTCCCCTCTATACTAAATCCCAGTCCCCCTCTATACTAAATCCCAGTCCCCCTCTACTAAATCCCAGCACCCGCCCTCTACTTAACCCCGGCCTCTGTTTAAAACAAAACAACCAATATTAGCCAACAAGCAGACTCCACTCACATTGACGCTGCCAGTATCCGACTCCAGAGTCTAGCCTCTGGTATACCCCCAATGGTACCATCCCCACCCTGTGTCAAAGCGGAGCCTCCCACTACTCCTTGAAACCCTGTGAAGGTGGAGCACGTTGACGTCACAACTAAATGTGATGTGGCGTTGCATGCCTCCATGCACCTCCAGGTCCTCCACTGTACAGTTGCGGCCATCCCAACACTGACCAACACACACTCACTGACAGACACATGCACTGACAGACACACAAACATACACACACACTCACTGACAGACACACACACTCACTCACTGACAGACACACACTCGCTGATAGACACACACTCACTGACAGACACACACACACTGACAGACACACACATTTACACATTCTTGCACACACTCACAAATCATTTTATTTATTGCTCTCTACCTTTTGGAGCTGGTGTGGGGCTTCACCCTGGGGTCTTCCTTCCTGCTCTTCACTGCTCCCTCACGCGCGCAGTTTAGTGATGCCAGGCCAGAATTACGTAATTCTGGCACCCGGCATCACTACAGAGGGCGCGCGCAAGGGAGCAATGAGGAGCAGGAAGAACAGACTGAGCTCCCTCGCTGCCGCCAGCGACCTCTACTCCCGGCCGGGTAAATTTTTGCAGAGTAGGCACCTGCAATGTGGGGAGAGCAGGTGCCTACTCTGCCTTAAAATGTCAAACTCGAGGCTCGCTGGGCCGCATAGATATTCATTGTGGGCCGCATGCTTGATGTTGATGAAACACAGTGTAAGAATCTATCAAATGTGATGGACAATATTTATAGCTCACTATATTTAGGGGCACAAAGAAATCAATGTAGTGTTTGCTTACATCTGCAGCCATTGCTAATGTAAAGAAGGAAATCAGGACAAATTGTGTTTTTTACAAATAACTTCCTCTAGAGATTGTAAGTTCGTTTGACCAGGGTCTTCATCAACCTATTGTTTCTGTCAAAATTTGTACT